CCTTCTGCTGGAACGCTGCCTGCAGCGCCTCCGTAACCATCTTCTGCTTCTTGTTGTAGTCCGCCTTGGCCTGCTGGAGCCGCTTGCAGGCCTCGTCGGCTGCGACCTGCGCAGACTTGACGGACTTGACATCAGACAGCACGCCCAGCTGCTGCTGCAGCAAGAAGCGCGACTGTCGCAGGCTGTGCTTGTCGCTGGCGGCCAGCGTGACGGACAGCAGCTCGAAGTCGTCGTCACTGAGGGCCATGAAGCGGTCGCGGGCCTCGGGCGAGAGCTTGGGCGGCTGCGCCCCAGAGCCCCCGCCACCTCCACGCTTCGGGCTGGCCATCGTATGCCAAGGGCGGGAGTCTGCACCACCGTCCGCCCACGCCCCACGCGCTGGAGGAGGGCCAGAACGAGGAGCAGGTACACGATTGGTCGGCCTGCAGCCCGTGCACCCCGCTTGCCGACACTTCGCGCGCCAGCCCAGGTTCTTGTAGTGGCAGCGGTTGCAACGCCAACTCGTCCCCTGAGCTGCGTCACGCGCTGCACCAGCGCCAGCTCCTGCCATGGCTCTGCAGCAGGATGCGTTCGAGCCGACAGGAACGGGAAAGGCCTCCGTTTACCCACCGACCCGAGCGCGAGGAGGGTGGCCAGGAGACGACGCCAGGCTTCAAGAAGCCTTGCCTGCCGCGGACTAGCGGTATCCGCTTGGTTCCCAGAGGAACCCTGCATCTTGAGCCAAAATGGCTACGGAGGAGGGGGAGGAGGAGGAGGAGGGGGAGGAGGGGGAGGAGGAGGAGGAGGGGGAGGAGGAGGAGGAGGAGGAGGAGGAGGAGGAGGAGGAGGAGGCGGATGACTGCAGGCAGGCGCGAGTCGCACGTCGCCCCAGCACCACAGGCGCGCGGGAGAGCGGTTTGCGTGCCCCCATCGCAGGTGAGCTCGGCGAGGCAGAGACGGTTGCCGCGGGTGCGCGGTGCCGTGGTGGGCGCCGCGGCCTCCAAGAAGGACGGTCCCCGCACGCGCCCGTCTGCGCGCGAGCACGCTGTTGCCTCTCCTGTCCACGCTCGGCGTCCAAGGCAGGAGGAAGAAGGAGGACGACGGGGAGGAGGACACTATAGTAAGGCAGCATGAGGGCGCGATGCGTTCTCGAGCGACGCCAGTTCTCGCAGGCATGAGTGGACGAGGGACCTGCACAGGCCAGGTGTATCAGAAGCTCAGCTACTAAGATCTTAGCTACAATCATTCGGGATAGGTGGGCGAGGCAGCGGGGAAAAGGGAAGACGAGGGGGTCAGGGCCAAGAGCGGGGCAACACGGGCCAAAACCTCAGACGACTCGACCTGTCCGAGCCGCCGGAACCAGGGGTTTCGGCTCCTTTTGGGCGGCGCCAAATGGGGGGCGATAGATTGGGGTAGCGAGGGTTGACGAAAAGGTGCCCTGCAGGGCCCCGAAAGGAGCCCGCAGGGGGCCTCTCGGGCCCGACAAGGGCACCTTTCTTCCCCCCGTCAGTTCGCGCCCACCGGCTTCTCATCCTGACTCGATTTTCAACCGGGGCTCAGAAACGGCCTCCATTGACTTGGCATCGCTCGGACGTGTGCATTTTTCCTGCGGCGAGGACCATCGAGGAGCAGCCTGGATCCATTGGCGAAAAAAGCACGCACGAAACCGAAAAAAACACTGGGCAGGGACGTCCGAGCGATGGCCAGTTGAGGAAGCGAAGAGATGGCCCGAGGCGCGTGGATTGGCGGCGGGCCGCGTCTCCGCGCAGGCCCGGCGCGCTCCGTCGCCGGGTCAAGCGGCATTGGCGCCATGCTTCGGGAGCTATGCTTCAGGAGGGAAAAAGCACACAGACACAATTAATCGTCGATCCCCAGGAAAATATGGAAAAAGATTGGCAGTGAGGGGGGGAAGACGAAAACCAAGAAAATACGAGAAGCTATGGGGAATCGTGTTATTTGTGTGTATTAATTTGCGTGTCCCAGGGCCCCTTCAATGTTCCCCGAGCCGTGGATCTGGCTCCCGCGCGCCAGCTCCACGGATCCGTAATCCATGTAAGCATGTGCCCGGCTCGAGACGCCGAAGGTTGCGCGGAACTTTTTGGCGAGATCGCTTCGAGCCGCCAGAGGCCTGGGGATGAGAGGCGGAGGCTGTTTTTTTGTTGAAGGTTTGGGCGGCAACGGCCGCGATCGGCCCCCTCCCACCCTCTCCCCGCCCCCGGATCGCTTCACGCTATACTGCCCGCATCTGCAAAGATGTCTGGCGGATTACGCAGGGATGTCCGAAGATTTCCGGTGCCCCCCCGCCGCAATGAAATCGAGGGCGGGGAATGCCCCCCCCTTTTCCCCCGATCACGCCCGATATCGCGAATAGTTCCATTTCACATTAAATCTGACATGCAAAATACTGCTTAAGAAGAAGAAAATAATAACATGCTCGAGGAGACAGAGGCTAACAGAGTTTCGGGCGATCGCGGGCAGGGGGGAGCTCAGCCCAGCGAGGTGCCCTTGCGGGCCCCGGGACCGTGGCGGAGGGGGGCAGAGGATCGGGGAGGGATGGAGGGGGTCAGAGGATCGGGGGTGGCAAAGAGGGAGGTGATGATTATGGGGGGGATATCATGGGGCGGGGGCCATGATATCTCCTCTGATGTCATGGCGCCTCTTCGTATTTCAACACGTCCCCGCCCCCCCCCCCCCTGGGCCGTGCACATGCCGCCAGCGATGATTTGCGCCCCCACCTCTTGGATGCCCCCCTCTTGGACGCCCCCGACTGGAGGGGGGCAAAGGAGGGAGTGAGAATGGCAGAATGAAGACGGTGTTTAGACTGCTCGACGGCAGCGGTTCTAGAATGAGCCATGCAATTTGCCGAGAGTACGCATGCATTCCCTTCCTCCGCTCCGGGCTCCCCTCTCTCTCTCTCTCTCTTTCTCTTTCCCTTTCCGTCGCCATTAAAGGAGTCCTGAGGTTTCTCCCCGTTGTGTGGCCTCCCTGACCCTCCACGGGCCCCGACGGCCCTCCGAGGCGCCCCGAAGGCCTCCGAGGCGCCCCGAAGGCCCCCCGAGGCGCTTTGAAGGCCTCCGAGGCCCCCCGAGGGCCTCCGAGGGCCCTTCGCCCGAAAGCCTCCCTGGAGCATGACGGGCACAGAGGCCGCCGCCCCGCGCGGAGGGCGCTGCGCGGAGGGCGCCGCGCGGCGGGCGCCTCCGACAGGCATGGAGCGCACACGCCGCGGGCCGTTGCGGGACGCCGCGGCGCGCTGCTCGTCTCGGGGAGCAAGCAGTGACAGAAACATAAATTGTCGGAGGTCCGCGCGGATTTCTTGGATCGGCGCCGGGCTCCCCTCCCTGGCGCGCGGAGCATGCTTGGGGGCGGCGCCGGGGGCGCCGCCAGGGATGGACCAGCGCAGATTCGAGAAATCCGCGCGGGCCTTCGAAAGTTAGTGTTTATGCCATGGTCTGTTCCTCTTACAGTCGAGACGCTGGAATAAGGACCGCTTTGGGTTCGGAAGGGGCTCGTTGTTCCTTGGGTCATTCCGTGGTTGCTCCTCTAGCCCTCTTCGTGCACCCTGGCGCAATTGGTGCCAACGAAAGGGGCCCCGTTCCTTGTTTTAACGTTCCTAATGGCAGCAGCTTGACTGTACAGTGGGGGCGCGCACCAAGAAACCGTCTGGGCTTCGTCAGGGTACCCTGGGTTTCTTCGTTTCCAGAGATGCGCGCTGACTTCTCCCGATCGTTCAGAGACTGTTGCGCCGTGGGTACCCGACGTTTCTCCGACTGGCTCCCTTGGATAAGACCCCAGGCCCTGGGCAAGAAGCTTCGAGGACTTTCAGGGCTGGGCTTCCTGCGAGGGGTTCTGGCGGCCGCGTCCCCACTGTGTCGTCGCCGTGCGGCGCGGCGCGCCGCCGCGCGGGCCGCCTCGGCCTCGCCGCGCGGGCAGCGCTATGCGCGGCGCTCGCGGGCGCCCTGGTGGCCCTGGGGAAACCAGCAGGCACCGATGCCGCCACTCCCCGGGGCCTCTCCCGGGGCGCGTCCCGACCAGGACTTCGAGGCGAGTCCGGCGGTGGCGACGAGGGCCTCCCACGAGGCCCAAGAATCAGGAGGGACAAGGACACACAGACACAGTGAATCGTCCATTCCCGAGAAAGTATGGGAAGATATGGGAAGTGGGGGGGAAGACGAAAACCCAAAGAGTATGGGAAAATATGGGGAATCCTGTTGTTATTTGTGTCTGTTTATTGAATCGCTTCGCTCATTCCGCCGGCCCATTTCGCATGACTGAGCCTCTTGGGGCCGCTGGGGGGCCTCTTGGGGGCTTTGGGGGCCTCTCAGGGGCCTCTTGAGGCCTCCTGGGGGCTTCTTAAGGCCGAGGGCTCGAAGTTTTGTTTTGTGTTCCCCCTTTGGGGCATCGCTTGGGGCCCTCTTGGGCCCCTCTTGGGCCGTCTTGGATGCCTCTGGGGCCGTCTTGGAGCCCTCTTGGGCCATCTTGGGGCCTTCTTGGGAGCTTCTTGGGCCCTCTTGGGGCGATCTTGGGGGCCTCTTGGGCCGTCTTGGGGCGTCGGGAAGCCGAAAAGATGGACACGCCAAAATCTGCCCAAAACCTAAGGAAAAGTAATGAATTTTGCCTCTTGGGGCCCTCTGGGGAGTGCTCTTGGAGGCCTCTTGGGGCGTCTGGGGGCCATCTTGGGCGTCTTGGAACGATCGTGTGGCATCTCGGAGCACTCTTGAGCCATCTTGGAGGGCTCTTGGCGGCCTCGTGGCCCTTCTTGGGGCTCTCTGGAGGGCCACGGGGGCGGCGCCCAGGAGGAAAACCATCTCTGATCCGAGTCTGCCGGGGATCGCCCGGGGTACTATTCGTCCGGACCCCCAGGGGACGCCCCGCGCGCGCGAAGTAGAGGTATTATTTAGCAGTTACCGGAGATCTTAGTACGCCTCTGGCCCGTTGGGCCGGCGAATTTGTGTGTCCCAGGGCCCCTTCAAAACAGGGGGGCACGAGGGAAGGGTGGAGGCATGGGTGCTTCCTCCTCCGAGGCCTGCGCGGCGGGGCTGCCCGGCCCGACCGCCCGCCCGGGGCCACGGGGCCCGCCGAGGCGGCTCGAGGAGCAGCGGGCGGTGGCCGGCTGCGCGCGAGAGTGGCCCTTGGCCGGGGGTGGCCTTCGGTGCGGACTCCCCCTCTCTCCAGCAGTGGCGAAGCGTCTTGGCTCACCTTTCGGCCCACCCAAACGTGTTCTAAGAACCTTTTGTGGTTTGCACCAAATGTTCTTAGAACATGTCTGGCTGGGACTGGTCTGTTTTATCACATCGGGCTCACGTTACAAGAACATTGTTTCTGTTATAAGAACATGTTGGGGTTCTAAGGACATGTCGTGGTAGGGCTAAAGGAATGCCGGGACGGTCGGTCCCTGCTCAAGACTCTGGCTGTGGGGGCATCACGCCAGGAGGACAGCGCAGCCATCTTCTGGCTCCAGAGGTCCTCGTCGGGCCCCTGGGGCCGTCGAGAGACGGCTCGGGCTGGAAAGCTGGTCCTGGGGAAGGGGTCCAGACCTTTATTGGGGGTCCGCGCTGTGAGAAGAACAGGGCGTCGGGAATCTGGGCTTGGCCCCCCCCACCCCGCGGCCCTGGAACGCCCCGCACCAAAGGTCACCTCTGCCCAGGGCCATTGGCGTGCAGCCGACGCGGAGGAGGTTGGAGACGACCAGCTGGAGGGCTTCCGCTGCCAGCACGGCCACCACGCGGCGGGCGGCCCGGCAGTGGTTGTGGGCTCGTGCGAGTGCGACGCAGGCTGGGGCCGGGCTGGGTTGACGGACCCCTTGAATTTCTTGAGAGGGGCTTGTACGCAGTACCACTGTGTTGACGATCGAACGTGCCAAGAGGTGTTGGAGCCGCTTGGGATCCACGGCTCTACTTGTCCCGTGAGAAGCTGGAATTGCTATTGCGGTTGGGAGCGGGCATTCTACAATTGGGGACAGGGCTGGGACACCCCCAACCACGCGAAGCCAGGTGCCAAGTGCATGCCGAAGAGGAAAGAACTGCAAAACTATAAATGTTCGAAGCTACGCGCGAATTGTCTCGGATCGGCGTCCGGACCCCCTCCTAGCGCGCGGAGCACGCTAGGGGGCGTTCCGCGCGCCAGGGAGAGGGTCCCAGCGCCGCTCCACGAGAGCCGCGCGGAGGTCCGAAAGTTCATGGTGATGCCTTGCTTTCGTCCTCGAGCATGGGCATCATGTACACCTTCTCTGTCTGGCTCTCCGTGTGGCTGGTGTTCGTCGGGGAGCGCGCGTGGGGGTACGTTCTGATCCTAGCGGCGGTGCTGCTGCCCGTCGGCCGCCACAAGGCGCGGTGCGACTGCAACGACCCTTCCATCTGGAACGTGTTTCGTAGGATGTTCAGGTGAGCGACGCAAAGAAAGGGGGTCGTCTCCACCGACATTGGCGCGTAAGCTGCCCACAGAAGGTCCCGCGTGAGCGCCCTCGTCTCCACGGTGGCGAGCCACGACGGCAGCCCGCGTAAGCCGCGGCGTAAGGTCGTCGTGTCATCTCGCGTAAGACTCGCTTTTGATGGTCGCTCAGGTGCCAGCGCGGAAGCAACGCCCAGGCCCGGGCGTGCGCCGGCCAGTGCCTGGGCAGGGAGGGCTGGCAGGACATCCTGAAGGACGACGTCGCCTGGAGTCTGTACGTCGTGGAGCTCGGCGTGTGGCTCTACGCCCTCTTGATCGCCCTGTGGATCGTCACCGTCTCGATCTCGACGATGATCATTGCGACGATCGTCGTCATCACGTTCGTGGTCGTCGCCGTGGCGGGAATCTTGATGGCGTGCGGCGAGGGGATGGGGGAATGCGATGCGGCCGTATGCGGCGGGTGCCAGAACTGCGGCGCCTGTCATTGTGACGCGTGCCCCGCCAACTGTTGTGATGACTGTGTCCATGGGGGAGGCGCGTCAGGCGAGGACACGCTCTTCTGGGTCGGAGGGTCTTATCCATACGACCCCCTGTGGGGCTACGGCGGCTACGGCCACCGGGTGCGTCCGGGTGAGGGACAGGTCGGTTGTTGTGCGAGTCTCTGCTACCCGATAGCGTGGCTGCTGTACGTTTTCCCCGTGATGCCCGAAAATGCTCATGGTGGCATCGTCGGACGCCTCTGCGGAACGCACCAGCACTATCCGTGGTTTGGCCGAAACGTTGGTGGCAACAGCTTCATCGAGTTCTTGTCCCTGCGATGGCGCAGGAGGAGGGATCTGCACGGCGACGGCGCGTGGAGGCGCCGGGTGCAGGAGCTCATCGCGCCCCGGCCAGGTGCACCCCTGGACCGAGGAGCCCAGCAGCATGGACCTGCTCCGCACCAGGAACAGATGCAGGACCAGCGAGCTCGAAGATCGGGGGCGGCCAAGAGGGGAAGTGGTGTCCAGGGGGGGGGAGGGGGGGGAGTATCATGGCGGGGGCCATGATGTCTCCCCCAATCTCATGGCGCCCCTTCTTACTTCAGCACGTCCCTGGCTCCCCCCCGGGGCCGCGCACGTGCCGCCCGCCATGATGTGCGCCCCCCCCTCTGGGACGCTCCCCTCTTGGACGCCCCCGAGAATACCGGAGCAGCGGCAACCGCTGCTGCAGCATCAGCGGCAACGTAAGAGGGCGGGATAGAGGGGACGCGTCGAGCTTAGTCGCCCAGCCGATGGCGAGGAGGAGGAGGAGGAGGAGGCCCACCCAGCCCATGACCATGCGGACTCACTATCGCGGGCCTATCGCCGATCTGTCGGCGATGTATCGCCGAAACCAGGTCGATGTTTCCCCGCTGAGCTGGCCCCCCCCTCCCCCTGACGTTTCCCCTCACAGCAGCCCCGCATCGGGATGACAAACGTCGAGCGAAGGCAGGACCCGTTCGACCAGAGGCGGGACCGCTGCCCGGAGTCCAGCTTCAGGAGCTACCTCGACGGCGAGTGCTGGATCTGCACGGCCGCGGGCGAGGCCAGCCAGTGGGACATGTGGGTGTCGTGCCGCCACATGTTCTGCTCGGGGTGCAGCAGCGAGATGATGCAGAGGCTCGGGGTGGGGGGGGAGAAGTTCACAGGAGGGAAAAAGTTTAGAAGTTCAGAGGAGGGAAAACATACCGTTACCGATGCCAGAGCGTGTTGGGCCGCTCCGAGAGGTGCCTGGAGCGACGCGTCCTCCTCGTGTACGCTCATCGAGGATGAGAGAACCACCATGTCTGTATTGCTGCTGGTTCTCCTAACTCAGGTCCCCTCCCAGATGGTTGGGGGCCCTTTTTTATTGCGAGTCGTACGCTGTCAGCCAAGCGACGTATAATAACATGAGCGCACAAGCAGCCCGCGTAAGGTCGCGGGTAAGCGCCCTCGTCTCCAATGTGGCGTGCCGCGCTGGCGGTCCGCGCAAGCCGCCGCTTAGGACCGCTCCCTCTCCGATCGTCGCTCAGCGGTCTGCCCTGCTGCCTCTCCACCGGAGGCGCATGCCGTGCCCGCTGTGCCGCCAGTGGTCCAGCACCGTGGTGCGCGGCCCGCGCTGTCTGCCGGCGGCGGCGGGCCACGCCGCTCCGGTGGCCCAGGCGGCGGAGGCCACGGCGACGGCGAGACTCGGGCCAACCTCGTTCGCCCCCGCCGCGTCCCCCTCCCCGCCCTCCCCTCCTCACCGTCCTCCCCTCCTCGTCCCTCGTCCCCCTCCTCGCCCCTCCTCCACCACTCCGCATCCCTCGGTCGCCGCCTTCCTGTTCCATCGTCCTCCGCATCCGCCTCCACCTCTTCAGGGGGAGAGGAGGAGGAGGAGGAGGAGGAGGAGGAGGAGGAGGAGGAGGAGGAGAAGGAGGAGGAGGAGGAGAACGACGACGAGGACGACGAGAAGTGCGAGGACAAATGAGCAGAAAGAGGAGGGGGAAAAAGGAGTACCAGGAGCGGGAGGAGAAGGAGGAGGAGGAGAAGGAGCTGGGACAGGAGCAGGGGCAAGGGGGCAGGTACGGGGGTAGGAGAAGACGGCAAGAGTAGGGCGACTAACAACACTAGCCAGGAGAGCAGCAGCCACAACAACAACTACGACGACATCAACAGCAACAATAATAATGTTAAGACTGCTCGCCCTTATATGCTCGAGTGTCCAATAACGCGCATTTCCCAAACCCTCGATACCCGCCCTCTTCGTCTTCGATCGAACCCCATTTGGGGGGTATACCTTTCTTCCCTGCAGGCCGGGCCCCGGCAAGCGGCGGGGCGGCCGCGGACCGTCGGCCTGGCCAGCGGCAGCGCTGATCGGCGGGGCGGCCGCGGACCGTCGACCCGACCCCAAGAGGGACGGACAGGGGACCGACAACGACGACGACGACGACGACGACGACGACGACGACGACGACGACGTCGAAGACGACGGCGACGACGACGACGACGACGACGACGAGCGAAAGCGAGAGCGAGAGAGAACGACAGCAGGGCCACGAAGGGCACGAAGTAGGCCACGAAGGGCGACAGCGGGGACGCGAAGGGAATGCGTATGGGGCCACGAAGAGCACGAACGAGCGGGGGCCACGAAGTGCAGATAATGCGGGGCCACAGAAGGCAACTATGGGGCCAGTGAAGGTAGCAACTGGGCCACGTAGGACAGTGATGGGGGACACAAATGGCGACAGCGGGGCCACGAAGGGCATGCACGTGGGGCCACAACGGGCGCGACTCCTGGGTGCCTGGGTGTCGGGAGCGCAGCGCTTGTGCAAATTGTAGGAAATTCCAACGTAAGGCCATTCTTTAGGAAGTTGCAAGCAAGTCTCCAGCGAGAGCGCGACTCCAGAGCGCCGGAAGAGCGATTCCTGAATAAATTGTAAGGAAGTCCCAAACGAGAGCACGATTCCGGAATAAAATGCGAGGAAGTCTCGGGCGGGAGCGAGGGTCCTGGCTAAATTGTAAGGAAGTCTCAGGCGGGAGCCGTTGTTGTTGTAACCCGGGGGCCAGGGGCCCAGTTTGAGCATGAAGACACCGGTGGGGGGATCAACAATAATTATTTTTCAAGAATGAGAATTCAACAACAACAACCACAACAACAACAACAGCAAACGCAACAACAACAACAACAATAACAACAACAACCGCAACAACAGCACACAAGCAGAAGCAACAACAACATCAACAGCAGCAGCAAGAACAACACTCACACCAAGACCAACACAAACACCAGTAACAACAACACAAACAAAGCCAACGTAAACAGTAGCAGTCACAAAAAAAAACACAACCAGAAGACGAGCAGTACCAAGACCGACAGCAACAACGATAATAACACCAACAACGGCAGAAACAGGAGCACGAACAACAACAACAACAACAACAACAACAACAACAACAACAACAATCACTTTACCCGAACGCTCAGTGTTCTCACCAGTGCCAGGGTTTTCATGCGACGCCAGCCAATACCCCCACTTTGTGGGGGGGCAGTGCAAGCTCTACCAAATATCCACACGACTCTTCGCCACCACCCACACCCAGCTTCCCGCCCTATGACGTTCGGACACTTCACTTCGTGGCCTGCGGACGACCGTGGCTACTACACTGGCGTGGAGTACACACCCACAGAAGTTGTTAAGCCTACGTTCGTACACCCACAGAAGTTGTTAAGCCTTGTTAACCCACAGAAGTTGTTAAGCCTTCCACAGAACATCTGTTGCATATGATGCATATGGTACATGATACACATGATACACATGATACGTACTCGCAAGGGAAGACGTGCAGGTGTTTTTCGAGGACCCAATGGTTTTTGGAGATTTCGGCGTGCGCGCGCAAAAAACGAATGTGTCCCGCATGGTATTATTTGACAGGGATGATGGCCCTGGCAGGTGCGCAACCGTTGTCGCAGAAGTTCGAAAAAGTTGCTCGCAAAAGCCCGTTTGACAGAAATGTTTAAAAAGTGTTGGGTTTCCTACGAATCCGCAAGAGCGCGCGGGATGAGATTTTGACATTTTTTTGTTGAAAAACCATTGGTTTTTTGATGTTTTTATGTTAAAATCGCTCCGAACACTAAGCTTTTGGAAGGATTTCGTCTTGCGCGCGCGAATGTCCACTTTACCTTATTTTTTGCAAGGGATTCTTGAAATTTGATTATATTTGAACAAGAAATTTCATTTTATAGTGTTTTTTGCAAGGGAAAGCGGGGGGGAACAAAACAACCGGATCTGGATGACATCGAATTACTTCAGGCTTCCTCACGAAAATGATGAAAACGTGGCTGCGGCCTAGGCGCGGCGGGGGGGGCGTGCACCAGGGGGCCCAACAATAATTATTCTTTAGAATTAATAATGTTCAACAACAACAACAACCACAACGATAACAGCCACAACACCAACAGCAACAACAACAACAACGACAACACCAGCAACAGGTACAACAACAGCAACAGCAACAGCAATCATCATGTTAAGACTGATTGCCCCGATCTCTTCGCGTGCCATTCAACATGTATATCCCGAACCCTCGTTACCCGCCCTCTTCGTGTTCGATCGGATCCCTTTGAGGGTACATGTTCCTCACCTGTCACGTGCATTCAGTGCAGCCCCTGAAACAGGGGAAGGGAGGACGGATGGAAGGGGGAGGGAGAAGGATGGAGCACGAGAGAAATTTGCAGGGGGGGAGCTGAGAGCAGAAAACACGTGGTAGATCGGCGGGTTGACCCGAACAGGCGGGTCCGGAAGGCGGGCCCAGGCGGCCAGGTCGAGCAGGCGGGTTGCTGAAACGCGAGTCCTGCATGAATCGCACGGAAGTCTCGAGCGATGGCACGATTCCCAAGTAAGCCAATCGAAAAGCCAAAGCGAGAGCGCGATTTTTGAGTGTCGAGGGCGCGGCGCCTGAATAATTGAGCGAGGAAGTCCCACGCGAGAGCGCGATTCCTGCATACACTGTGAGGAAGTCCCACGCGAGAGCGCGGTTTTGAAATCCATGCTGAGGACGTACCAAGCGGGAGCAGAGCCTTGAGGGGGGCACTTCAACTGCACGCAAAACAATGTGCACCAGTGGGGGGGGCGATCAACACTAGTTACACATTGTTCATTTCTAAGTCTTCGAAAATTACTTGATTTCGTGGGGGCCAAGATCATTTCATTTCTAGTTGTTCTGTCCTGGGCCTCTTCCTGGCCACTAGGGGGACAGGAAAAACTAGAAACGAGCACACCTAGAAATGCGCACGATTAGAAATCAACGACGTGTATTCTTCCAGAGCGAGAGTTCAACACTGACGGAGTTGCAGGAGGAGGCCAGGGAAGACGAGCAGGAAGAGGAGGGCGGGGAGGACGAGCAGGAGTAGGCAGAAGCAGGATCAGGATGAGGGGTGCAGTGGCCAGGGGGAGAGGGAAGAACAGCACGGTGTGGAGCGCGGCGGGAGGTGGGGGAGCAGGGCCAGCAGGAGGAGGAGGATGAGGAGACGGGCTGGGCGGCCGAGGCGCCGGCCTCGGGCAGCCGGGCGCTGCGGACGGCCGAGACCTTCACGATGGGGGAGTAGCTCGACCGGCGCCCAGCCCCAAACATGAAGACTGCGCTTGTTGCCTTCGCCCTCCTCCTCCTCCTCCTCCTCCTCCTCCTCCTCCTCCTCGCCCTCCTCCTCGCCCTCCTCCTTTTCCTCCTCCTGCTCACTCCTCGCTGGCCGCTCACGCGTCTGCGCAGCCCTTCGAGCTGGCCGACGAGTGCCTCGAGGAGCGGAAGGCCATACGGAAGACGCATAGCTGCCAGAAGCTGGAGGTGCCCGCGGGGGCGTCCGAGGGAGGAGGAGGTGCCAGCTGAAATGCGCGATCCAGAGCTTCCCAGCCAGGACTGCGCTGGGGCAGCTTCGCCTGGCGCCTCACAGTCTGCAATTCTTGAGCGACCGGGGCCTTGGCAGCGATCGCCGCGCTGCTTCTGCAGCGCGAGTTGCTTTTGATGTGGCCGTCGGCTCGGGTGGCCACTGAGCTTGTGAGGCTGCCGAAGCCCGACAAGCCAGGTGAGCACCGCCTGATCGCGCTCCTGAACACTCTTATTCGGGTGTGGGGGCGAGTGAGGCGTGGGCTGTCGATGGAGTGGGAGAGCGGGCACCGCAGTGATCTCTTGTGGGGAGCAGGAGTGGATCGCAGCAGCGTGGATTGCGCCTGTTCCCACAAACTCGAAGCAGAGATTGCTAGGAATACACGTTTGCATTGTGTCTCGGTCATTTGGGATACAATCACATGCTACAAAATGATCATTATCCAGGTCCTGCTTGCCGAGGCTGCTGCGGTGGGAGCATCTTCTCTGTTGTGCAAGTTGTTACCAGGTTTGTTAGGCCATTGGGCTTCATCCTGCACGTTGGCAAGTCAGGATACCCAGCCACTTCTACGGAGGCGTCGCGGGCCCTGAGAAAGAGTTTCAAGCCGGCTCGAAATCTCGGACGTACGATACCTTCGGAGGCGGCGTGGCGCACGGAGCTCTCGGAGACTCCAGGGGATTTGGGGTCGTCGGGACCGCCTGCGAGCTTTGCGGCGGGCTGGTGGCGTGAAGGTTAGAGCCCTGCCCGGCAGTCATGGCGCCGGCGTTGTAGGTGTAATGGACATTGCCGTCCATTCTCTGTCGGTCCTATGCTGTGGAGTTGGCGGGGGCGAAGGGGGGTATCTCCTCCTAGACGGCCCTCCTTGCCACCCAGAAGGATCAGTTTTGCTATCCGATGTTCGATACCTCATGTCCGCGTGTACGGCGATATTATGCGTGCGTCTGGGATGGCCTCTCGCAGCCCAGTCTCCTTTTTAAGGCTTGATCCGCTATTAAAGAAAAAGTAGACAAGCCGGCGAGTTGGGAGATTTGTTTCGGGCCCATTTCGGCCGTCTTACTGTCTCTTCGCCGCGTCGGTTGGGACATGGCGTCGCCCCACGTATTGCTGTCGGACATTGGCGGAGCTATCTCTTTGTATCAGAGGTCACCCTGCGAGGTTCGGGGACTACTCAGGGAGGGCATTGCGCGATGGCAGTGGCGCCGTGTACTTTGCCATCTCCCCGAGGCCACGGGTTCCGAGTTGGTTTGGGGCAGGGCCGCACGAATTGGGTTGCTTGCTCAGCCGCCATGGGCTAGGCAAGGATCCGTCTGCGCACTATGGTCTGGAGCCCTCTGGCCGCCGTCGCGTAAATTTGACGCTGGTATGGCTGCTTCGGCTAAGTGTTCCTTCTGCCCGTGTGAGCGTGGCACGATGGGGCATCAGCTGTATGATTGTTTAGCTGCATTCGAATCTGGCGACGATCTGGACCCTAGTGCGGGTTTCCCGGAAGATATCTGGAAGCACCGCATGGCCGCGAGAGCCGAGCCGGGGGATTGGGACGAGTTTGGGGCTATCTGCGGCTTGCCGTCTATCCCTGTTGGCTTTCCTCTCTCCCCTCCCTCTCCTCCTATCTGCACGTGGGGAGATTCCGACGGCGAGTGGGGGCGCGTGCTCTTCACCGACGTTTCGGGCCAATGCAGCAGTGCCCCAGAGGCCACCCGATGTGGTTGGAGTGTTGTTGATTTTTCGGAGGAGGGGTGGCCTCTGAGGGCCAGATTTGGGGCCTTGCCAGGTCGGTCTCAGACCGTCCCGTGCGGAGAGAGGTGGGCTGTTCTTGAAACTGTGCGTATAGGGCCGGCTCCCGTCCACACTATCAGCGACCCACTTGTCGTTTGTCGGGGAAGGTATTTCGTGGGACCCTTCCCCTGGGGCAAGGGTTGTCGCCGCACGCTTCTATTTGGCGGAAGTGTTGTCATTTGGGGCTGGGGGAGCAGGAGCGACCGAGCTTCGAGTGGACCCCTGCCCACCGGATTCCGGACCAGCTGATCGATAACCGGGCTCCGCATTCCGAGATTTGGAGATTCCTGGGGAACGCTTGGGCCGATTTCGTTGCCAAGCTGGGAGCCCGGGAGCATGAGGTGGCGAGAGTTGCAGTGGCCTCCTTGGAAGCCACTGGTCACCATCAGCAACACGAAGCTCTCGTGCATCTTTTTTTCGGCCCGGCAGTGCAAATGATTTGTGCTCGGCCTGAGGTCTCCGCTCCGTGCCAGGACAGACCAACTCCGAGCGCTCTAGCTGCGCCCGCGGTCCCACCGTCGGTAGTCATTGCGCACGACCCTGTGGCTGGTGAAGCCTGGCGCAAGTTGTTCGCCCTCCCCCATGCTTGCCCAGCTTGCCGAAGCTGTCGAGCGCATGGGGTGGAGAGACAAGGAAGAGGGGGAGCGTTGTCGTCTCGACGGGGGGTGGCGGCGGAGGTGGACGGTCACAAAGTATTTGTTTCTGGTCCTTTCTTTTACTGCCGCCGATGCGGTGCCCGTGCGGCAGTCGGATCGACGAAGTTGGATGCCCTCTCCTCTGGTTGTCCTGGCCACCCGCCCAATGCCACTCGGCGCAGGGCCCGCGACCAGTTCGCGGACGGCAGTGATCTGGTCTCCAGAGTACTCTTTTCAAGGACGTGTGTGTCGAGTGACGTTTGAAGTCTTTACTCGCACGCGGCCGTCCATGTCCTCCTTGCAGGCGTGCTCCCGGCATGCTGGCTGCACATCCTCGGCCATGCTCCAATGCTCACTCCTCGCTCCTAACTCCTCGTCCTCCTCATCCAGACACTGCGAAGTCACGTCGCCATTCTTGTATGTATCGTTTCGCCGATCGGCGCGGGCCCCCGCCCCCCCCCACTGCCCCCTCCCTGGACCAGACCTTGGCTGCTCTTGGCGGTTCATTGCTGGCGACTGGTCAGGGCCCCTCTCCCCAGTCTGCCTGCCCGACTGGCAAGTGCAGATCGACTAAGCACCGGCCCAGACCCAGACCCCCTCCCTCTGGCTCTCCATGTTTCCTCCTCCTCCTCCTCCTCCTCCCCCCTCCTCCTCCTCCTCCTCCTCCTCCTCCTCTCTTCCCTCCTCATCCTCCTCCTCCTCCTCCTCCCTCCTCCTCCTCCCTCCTCCTCCTCCTCCTCTCCCTCCTCCTCTTCTTCCTCCTCCTCCTCCTCCTCCTCCTCCTCCTCCTCCTCCTCCTCCTCCTGCTCCCTCCTCCTCCTCCCTCCTCCTCCTCCCTCTCCCTCCTCCCTCCTCGCTGAAGGAGGAAACTGGCCAAATGTTGAAACCCAGAATGAAAGAACGCCTGCCAGTATGACACCTCGTGGCGACAAGCGGCTGCCACACAGGGGCGGGAGCAGCTGGCAGACAGCCTCACGCGCTGCACATCTACCGGAGTGGGCGCCCGGCACGCGAAGTGTTTCTTGCGGGGCCATGGCCTCGCCTGTGTCGCCCCTTTGGCGCCCGGGCGCCTGCCCGCACAAGCGTTCCAGGTACGTTCCCTTCCACCGCGCCTCGGCACGGCACGCCGTCCACGTCCCAATCCCCGAGCGTCAACGTCCCGGGCTTTTCCCGACCTCCCGCCCCGCGCAGCGGAGCGACGCGCCATCCATTGGCAAGGCGTAGCGTGTCGCGGGGGCCGCCGCCGCGACACGCGACGCAAGGGCTCCTGACCGCTCGGCGGCGCGCCGAGGAAACATCATGAGGGAGGCCTTCTCAGCAGGAGCGGCGGTGCTTCTCAGCAGCCCCCCGGCATTCTGAGACACCCCTACCTGGCCTCGGAGAAGGCTTGTGGGAAGCTCCTCAGCAAGGAGGGGAAAAAGCACGCAGACATTATTAATCGTCGATTCCCAGAAAATGTGGAAAATATGGGAAGTGGGGGGAAAGACAGAAACCCAGAAAATGTAAGAGAATATGGCGAATCCTGTGATTTACCTAACAGCGAAGACTGATAGGTTTCTAGTACGGTCAAAAGCGAGCATCCTGACTCCCCAGGGGGGTCTGGGCGGGATCCGGACGGGTGCCGGGGACTATTCTTTTAGCCAACATTAACACACTTCGTGGTCTTCGAGTTCCAAGAACTCCATTCCTGGGCATGATTTTGAATGCCCGGAGCCAACTGTAGGCCACTCCGTGTTCTTCGAGTTCCCAGAATTCCATCCTTGGGCATGATTTTGAATGCCCGGAGCCAACTGTAGGCCACTTCGTGTTCTTCGAACTCCACTCCTGGGCATGATTTTGTATGCCCGGAGCCAACTGTAGGCCACTTCGTGATCTTCGAGTTCCCAGAACTCCATTCCTGGGCATGATTTTGAATGCCCGGAGCCAACTGTAGGCCACTTCGTGGTCTTCGAGTTCCCAGAACTCAATTCCTGGGCATGATTTTGAATGCTGAGGCAGGCTGATGCTGAGGCAGGCTGAGGCTGAGGCAGGCTGAGGCTGAGGCCGAGGCTGAAGGCAGACTGAGGCTGAGGCTGAAGCAGGAGGCTGAGGCTGAGGCTGAGGCTGAGGGCTGAGGAGGCAGGCTGAGGCTGAGGCTGAGGCTGAGCAGGCTGAGGCTGAGGCAGGCTGAGGCTGAGGCCGAGGCTGAAGGCAGACTGAGGCTGAGGCTGAAGCAGGCTGAGGCTGAGGCTGAGGCAGGCTGAGGCTGAGGCTGAGGCTGAGGCAGGCTGATGCTGAGGCAGGCTGAGGCTGAGGCTGATGCAGGCTGAGGCTGAGGCAGGCTGAGGCCGAGGCCGACGGCAGACTGAGGCTGAGGCTGAAGCAGGCTGAGGCCGATGCAGAGGCAGCTGAGGCTGAGGCTGAGGCAGGCTGAGGCTGAGGCTGAGGCAGGCTGAGGCTGAGGCAGGCTGAGGCTGAGGCTGAGACTGCGACTGCGGTTGCCACTGCGACTGTCATCGCGAATGCGACTACGACTGCGAGAACAGCAGAATTCTACAACTGGATTCTCATCTGAATCTTAAGGGGAATGCTTCCAGATATGCTCCTACACATCGCTGTTAGGTTGCTTTGCCGGGATAATCGTGTGTGTTTATTTGTGTGTCGCAGGGCCCACTCACTCAGAAGACCGGAGGCCTGCCGAGCCTTCCGAGGAGGCCCGCCCTCTCGGCCTTCCTTTCCCCCCAGACCCCCGACGTCGGGGTCTTTTTTCACAGCGTTGACCCCCAGAGGTCCCGACCCCCTCCCCAGGACCGGTGTCTCGTCTTGAGTCGTTCCATGACGGCCCCGAGGCTTGGCAGGGGCTCCCGGCGGCCGAAAATGGCGAAACACGTCCCGTCGAGATTTCCTCACAACGCGAGCGGGCTTCCCTCTCTCTTGGCATCGCTCGGACGTGTGCATGATTTCTCGGCGAGAACCATCGAGGACCATCCTGGACCATCGAGCAACAAAAAAACACGCACTAAGCCGAAAAATGCACGGGAGTTGGACGTCCGAGCGACGGCAAGCTCTGGACCGGCTTCTCATCTTGAGCCGCTCTTGGACGGCCACGAGCGGGCCCGTCCAGGGGCCCCCGAAGGCGAGCGATGATGTCCTCACAGCGCGGGTGGGTCCGGGCTTCCCCCTCCGCTGGCAAGCTGTGGGGAGAGCGATGCGCCCGCAGCGTCGGCTCCTCCTCGGCGGTTCAGAGGTGGGGCCCTGGCCCGGCATCGCTCGGAGGTGTGCATGTGTTGGGGGCGAGGACCATCGAGGAGCATCCTGGATCTTCTTGCGGCAAAAAGCAAGTAGCAAGTCTTCAAAAGCAAAGGAGACAACACAGGATGTGACTGGTTGTTCTAGATGAAACATCAGAGCCGAAAAAATGCACGTGCGAGAAATCAATGTGTAAAAGGTGTCAAGAGGATGGGAGTTGCGAAGAGATGTAAGAAGGGATTGGTGGATGCGAAGAGATTTATAGTATGGAAAGAGTGGCGGTGGGAGGTATGTCGTGGCCGACCTGGTGTCGGTCTGCGCACTGCTCTCGACTCGCCCCAATCTCTTGGGCGGTCGAAGGCTTCCTCCTTATCCTCCTCCTCCTCCTCCTCCTCCTCCTCCTCCTCCTCCTCCTCCTCTTCCTCCTCCTCCTCCTCCTCCTCCTCCTCCTCCTCCTCCTCCTCCTCCTCATGTTCCTGTTCCTCCTCATCATCCTCCTCCCTCTTTGTCAGCATTTTGGCTAGTCCGCGCGCGCTTTTTAGCTGTTGTCCCGCCTCGGTTCACGCCTTCTACTCGGGTCGAACAAAGCGGGGGGGCGGTCATTAGGGGCAGCGTTAGGGAGGGAAAGTTTCGGGACCGAGGTTCGAGATCTTGGGACGTTTCCGTGCAGCTCGGCTGTCTTCCAGCCTCGGGGTGTTCTCCAGCAGTTGCGCCCCGCCGAGAGCATCCCGGGGGTGCCCAGATCGTCCCGAGAGGCCGCTGGAGACTCGAGTTAGGACCCGAAAGCGGGACGACGAAGATCATGGGAGGGACAGGTTTCTCGGGGACGGAAAAGAGGGGGGTGATGACTAGGGGGGGGGGATATCATGGCGGGGGCCATGATATTTCCCCAGATGTCATGGCGCCTCTTCTTATTTCATTACGTCCCTGGCCCCCCCCAGGGCCGCGCACATGCCGCCGGTCGTGATTTGCACCCCCCCTCTTGGACACCCCCCTCTTTGCCGCCCCCGAGTTTCGGGGGGGACGCGTCGAGCCCCATCGCCAGCTAAGCGCTGACAGGGGCTCGACAGCCCACCCCGCCGAGGAACATGCGGCTTCGCCACCGGAGGTCCGTCGCCGACCTGTCGGCGAGGCATCGTCAGGTCAAGATCGACGTTCCCCCCCTGAGTTGGTCCCCCCTTCAGTTCCCCCTCAGGGTGCAGTCTGGTGTATGCGGCTGCTTCCGGCCACACCGCCGGGCGCTTTCCTCGACGCGCGGGCGCCTCTGGCGCGGGGAGGCGCCAGGGAGAGCGGGCTGCGCGAACCCGCCCTCGGCTGCCCCCCCCCCCCCCTTTTTCGGCCGACCCGATCTGCCCATGGCGGATAAGCCCGCGGCGCCCGCGGAGGCGGGCCAGGGCGGCAAGCCCGGGCGGAAGAGGGCCAAGAGGCCCGGGGCCAAGCGGACGAGCACCGCGGTCGTTCCCTCGGGGCCTGGCTGCACGCAGGGCGCTCTCGTCGGCTCCCGGCGCTGCTCCTGCCTCGGGGTGCGCTCCGGCAGCCGCGCCTCGCCGAGAGCGTTCGGGGGGGGCCCGGACCGCCCCGGAACGGCCGTCGGAGCCTCGAGCTGTGTCCTGGAAGCTTGGTCGGCGCATCGGCGCTTTCGGAAGACCCTTCGCCAGAGCGACCTCTGGTGCGCGGCTTTCGGGGGGGGGGGGGACCCTGGCCTTCCAGAGTGCTACAAGATAGGCGTCCAGACCTGTAGACCGGTCCGGGCGGCCAAAAAAAACACGACGGGAACTCAGAGGTCGAGGCCCTGGTGTTGGTTTGCTGCCCTCCTGGAAGCATCTGATCCGGGACTTCCCCGGGACCCCCCCATCCTGGCCATCCAGGCGGGAAGGGATGAAAGGGGAGGGGCTTCCCTCGGCCAGGGCCGGGGCCACGGCTGGGGCCAGGGCCGAACCGCCCGGGGGGGAAGCGCATCTGGCCCGGGACTTCCCCGGGACCCCCCCCCCACCCTCCCCGGCGGGAAGGGAAGGAAAAAACTTCCCTCGACGTTTTTCTGGAAAGGTCGTCGTTTCGGACCCGTCAGCTTCAGACCCGTCCGGGGAGGGAGCGCATCTGGCCCGGGACTTCCCCAGGACCCCCCCCCCCTCCCCGGCGGGAAAGGAAGCGAAGGGATTTCCTTGGACGTCTTTCTGGAGAGGGCGTCGTTTCTGACCCGTCAGTCAGGACAGCCTCAGATGGAACAGAGAAGAACCGAACAGCGCATTCCACACGCCGACACAGGTTCGGCGGATTCCCCTCTTGCCACCTGGCTCTGCCTGTTCTCCCCATCTGCACCAGATTTCCCCGTTTCAGGCATGTCCACATATGTTTCAAGGTATTATGTAGTGGCCTCCAGCCAGTGCCGCCGATCCCGGGCTTGTCGAATACTTCGGCGACGAAGACGACGACGAATGACGACGAACGACGAGGTCCACGGAATATTGACGACGACAATTGACGAGGACCGACGACAACGACGACGAGGACGATTGACGACGACGGTGGACGATTCACGGCGAGCGATGGCCGATGACCGACGACCAGCGACGACGACCGATGACGCTGACGGCGGTGTGGAACGGCTCACGACGCGGGCCGTGGGCGCAGGCCCCGGGGCCGCAGGACGGCCCCACCCACCCCCCGGAGCTCCGTGAGTTACCCCGAGCCCGAGAGAGCGCAGGGCGGGCTAACCCTTTGGGCTCTGGACCCCGAGCGGGGGAAAGCGCGGGACGGCTCCCCCCACTGCAGAGCGGAGCTCTGGCGAAGCCCAAGCTCGCGCCCGTTGAAACTCACACGTTGGATCTGCGGATATCTCACCAGAGGAGAACGAACCACTACAACCAGCTAGGGGGGATTTGAGAACGGAGCTCTATGAAGTTCTGGTGGTGGTGGCTCTTTCTGCTTTCATGAGTATCAGGTTTCTCACAACGTGGGATCCAGGGGGTTGGGCACCCTGGGAAGCGCCAGAATCTCCAGGAACCGCCACACAGGCCCTCCCATGCAGAGGACGAGTCAGACCACTCGCGGCGTTTCAGGATCAAGGCCTTCGCCTTCAGCGCTCCTCGCCTTCGGCGGAAGTCCGCGAGAGCAAGACGCGGCGGCGGTTCCACCAGCGGAAGTCAGACGAAGCCAGGATGAGGATAAGATCGAGTAAGGATAAACCGAGAATCTCTGAGATCTGGCAGCTCTGGAGGATGTCTCGGGCGCTGCGGCCTTCTCAAAGACTTCTGAAACGCTCTGAGAGCGTTCCAGAGCCCCCTGGAACGGATTGATCCTCGTCCTAGCCCCGTCCGAGGAAGGTCGGTGGAACGCTGCGGAAGTAAAGGCGAGACGTCCAGATTCTTGGATTCTGGGTTTCCGGAGTCGGCCACTTGATGCCTGACCGCGTTTGTTCTGTCCTGGGAGGGGTCTAAACGGCTGTTCTGGAGCACCCCATTTGGCTTAACGACCACGGGACGAGCAAAATGAAGCGGGAGAAGCGCGCTGCGGCAAAGGGCACAAGGAGGCCAGATGACGAGCACGAGGACGACGAGGGAGGCGAGGCTGCCCCGGTCGAGCCGGCTCGCTGTCAGCCCGAGAAGAGGAAGCGAAAGGCAGCGGCGCAGGCGGAGGACGGCGAGAGCGGCGACCTCTACCAGCACCGCGTCTTCGTCCGAGGTCTGCCCAGCACCACGAGCGAGAAGGCCCTGCAAAAGTTGTTCGGCGTCTTCGGCGAGGTGAGAGCCGTGAGGCTGGTGAGGAATTCGAGGCTCGTGTTCCGAGGCAGCGCCTTCGTGAGCTATGGCGATGAGGACTCCGCGTCATCGGCACTGCAGCTGGATGGCGGGGACTACAAGGGGCACACCCTCCACGTCGCGACCGCGGAGCCGCCGAAGAAGGCCCCCTCCCTGCGGGTCTATGTTGGGAATGTGCCCTGGGAGGCCGACGAGAAGACCCTGCGGAAAGACTTCGGCGAGTGTGGGGAGATATCCAAGCTGAAGATGATCAAAGACGGCAAGCGCAGCTTCAAGGGCAGCCTCTGGATCACCTACGCGAGCGAGGAGGGAGTGGGGGCGGCGCTCGCCTACAGCGGCACCGACTACTGCGGCCGGACGCTGGTCGTCCGCAGGGCCGACGCCATGGATGCGCCGTGCGATGCGGAGCCGGAGCCGGAGCTGGAGGATCGGCTGCACGTAAGATCGGGAGCGAAGGAAGGACGCACACGTGTTTTATCAGTGAATTTAATTGGTTTTAGGGTTTTAGCGTAGCGACGCCCCAAAAGCTCGGTCTCCAGTATTTCTACGTGGCGGCGCCCCCGCAGGCACGCAGAGGGCACGCGTGGCGACGGGGGCGTCGCCACGCAGAGCTCCTAAAGTCCAAACATTTTGAAAACCAATTGTTTCCACTACTAAAGTACACGAGCCCACGCTTGTCTCGAAAGTATGCGCTGCGCCAACGTTCGTGTCGCGAGGCTGGTCTCGCGGACCCGGGGGGCCGTATTCATGGACGTGGTTGGGCGCGTACGCTTGTGGGCTCCCTATAAGAGCCTTGGCATCGCTCGGGCGTGTGCATTTTTTCTCAGCGAGAACCGTCGAGGACCATCCTGGACCATCGAGCAAAAAAAACATGCACGAAACCGAAAAATGCACGGGAAATGGACGTCCGAGCGACGGCAAGGAGCGGGCCTCCGCCGCGGTGATCTCCGGCGCGCCGCTCTCCAGGGGCCCCCGGGGCTCCGAGGTCCGGGCGCGCGTGGCCGCTCAGTCTCGGGCCCCGTGGCGGCCCGGGGCCCAGGCCGACCGGGCTCGCAGAGTGCCGCAGAGATCGGCTAGACGTAAGAGTGACCCTTCGCCGGAGTGACCTGTGGGTGCGGGCACAGATGGGTCCCCAGGTGGCCGAAGACGGAGCAGGAGCAGCGGCCTGCGCGCCCAGGTTTGGTCCCCCCGCGGCCCCCAAGAAGCCGCGCACCAAAGGTCACTCTTACCCAGGGTCACTCTTGCGTGTAGCCGAAGAGAGACGGGGTCCGGGGCTCTGGTCGCGTTTTTGAGCTGCGGTGCCGTATGTTTTTTTGTTTCGCTGCCTTGGATCCCAGGGCCAGGCACGCGGGCCAGTGCTGCAGCACCACGTGCGGCGACCAGCAGGCCGCGCACCAGAGGTCGCCCTCTTCGACAGATGGGAAGGGGGTCCGCAGGGAAGCGGGTCCTGGGCGCCAGGGGCTCTTCATGGGGCTAGCTCCCCTGACCTTCCAGGAGAGCTAAAACACCAAGACCTCGACATCTACATTCTCGTCGAGTTTTGAGGCAGTCCGGATCGATCTGTAGGTCTGGAGGGTAATTTTTCAACACGCTGGAAGGTCAGGGTCTTCATCCTGAGCGAAAACGTGGGGGAATTTCTAGGACCCTCTTCTCCATCACCCGCTTCCCTCATGGCGTTTTGTTGTCCAGGGGTCAGTACCCCCCCCCCCCAAAACGTAGACTACCCACATAACGTGGCCTGGACCTCGGTGGCACCGAGCCCGGCCTTCCACGCTGGCCACATCCATGATTGCGAGTGTTGCTGTCGCCTTGGCGCTGGCAGCATCCACGATTGCGAGTGTTGCTCTCGCCGCAGCGCCGGCCACACCCACCACTGCGAAAGTTACTCTGGCCTTAGCGCTGGCCACATCCACGATTGCGAAAGTTGCTGTCGCTTCAGCGCTGGCCACACCCACGATTACGGAAGTTACTCTCGCCTTAGCGCCAGCCACATTCACGACTGTGAAAGTTGTTCTCGCTCTAGCGCTGGTCACATCCAGGGTTGCGAATGTTTCGCTCGCCTCAGCGGCAACTGCATCCACCATTGCGAAAGTTGCTCTCATCTCAGCGCCGGCGAGATTCCTCGTTGGAGCCGAAGAGGGATCAGTGATACAGTTGTGACTGGTGCAGTGCATATTGATGTGTCGCCCCACTTCTGTACATCATTCGCTACGCCTCGCGCGCGCGTGAGACACTGGTGTCGCCGAGCCGTTGGCCACGTTAATGGGTCAGGTTAGATTTGGCGCAGTGTCAACAGGGCCTTGGTCAGGTCAGGGTAGAGATTGGCCATGTTAGGGGGGGTGTAATCGGCCCTCGGGCTGTTGCAGGGGTTCGTTCTGACCAGAATGTCGCATGGAATCCAGCCGCGGCGACGATCATCCCAGAAGCCTCAAAAATATAAGAATCGATAATAATTTCAATTTCGATCCTAGAATGTCGGTTGAGCAGGAAACTGCGGCAAGATGGATTCGAGAGCGCTTCGACGACCGCGCATGCTCAGGCTTCCGGTAGTCTGTCTGGCGAGGGAGAGGAGGGAGGACAGGAGAGAGGATCGGGGTGCGTCCACGAGGGCGATGCGGAGTAGGAGGGTCGCAGCGCAAAATCTCCCAGCGTCCACGGCCCCCTTCTTGCTTCAATGCGCTCGCTGGCCTCCCCCTCGTCCGCGCCTGGACAGAAGCCGCGGGCCCCTATGCGCCAACCCCCTCTTCGCGGCCCCCCCGCTTCAGCACACCCGACAAGAAGGGCAGGAGGAGGCTGAGGAGAAGGAGAGGGAGGGGAGGGGGAGGAGGAGGCTCAGGAGAAGGAGAGGAAGGGCAGGAGGAAGCTGAGGGGCAGGAGAAGAAGGGCAGGAGGAGGCCGATGCGAAGGGGAGGGGAGGGGGAGGAGGAAGTGCAACTTCGCTTCGTCGCGTGCGCGATGGCAACCGTCGGGCTGCGACGGTTGCTGCTGCCCGCGCGCGTGTCGCGCCTCCCCTCCTCCCTTGGCCGTCCTGCTCCCTCGCCGCTTGCGGGCGCGACGAATGTAACGACTGCGCCGCGCGACCCTCCCGAGGCCTGGGCCGTGGGCAGCTCGCCCGCAGGCCCGCGGAGGTTTTCTGTGAAGACTCGGAAGACGACCTGCGCATGTGTGTTTTAGCAGACTCGCTCTTTGGCGTTAAACGTTGGGGGAGGAGGAGGAGGAGGAGGAGGAGGACGAGGAGGAGGAGGTGCGCTTCTTCTCTGGCCGTCGAAGATAGCACGACCTGAAGTCCTACGCCGAGAACGCCAACAAGGGTCCTGTCGAAGCGATGGGTCTGGATTGAGCCACTGACCCACATTGCGGTAACCTACTACACGATGAGGTCAGGGCTTATCGGATCAACCTCATGCGCACGGGCGTAGTAGTCGATGTACTCGCAGAGCCACCTCGCGAATCGCGGAGCGGAGCCAGATGGAATTGCTTACAAGACCGCCCAGACGGGGGACCACAACCACTACGCGACAAAGACAAGCCCTGTGTCTACATGTAAGCTATTAGAACGAGAGATGTGCTTACCCGCCCGAACGCCCACACGATCAGCTTCGACCAGTGCATGTTCGACAGCCGCAGCAGAAAACCTACCACGGCGCGAATAGAGAACGGCGACCACTGCAACCACATGGGGGGCCGATCACGGCCCTGGACTACGACAGAGCCGAAGGCAATTTCCGCACGGCACCGCTGAAGGGATACCCTCCTGAGCTACGTGAACGTTTGAGCTATGTCTTCAAGAAAGTATGGCCGATGTTATTACAACCGGCCCCAGCTCCACCAACAAGCAGCTTGACAGGTTCAACGTAGTGCTGAAGCAACAACCACAGATACAGCCATGTTTCGTTGGACGGAAGACCGATGCAATAAAGGCCGACATTGAACCGCTGCACGTTTACGACATCAAAGAGGAGCCCTTGTACCCCCACAGAGATTGCAGGCGACGACCTGATACAACCGTCGGCTATGACCCCTGAGGCGTGCGCACCCATGCCCATAGCACCTGATACGAAAGAAACGGACACGCATCAGATGGCAAGCCCTCCCTCGGGGGGCAATCCTTACACCCTCGCCCAGGCTAGCAGCACCAACGCCGCCCAGGGAGGATACACATAGATGGGAGCGAGTGCTCAATGGACTCAGCAAGTACGGACCCGCGCGAACATCACCATCACCGCAAACTTCCCCAATTCGCTTGTTATAGTACCCAATGTACCACCAGCAAGGACTACAAGAGACAATGGGAACACCATGGGACAAATATTATTGCACGTGCGCACGACATCAAGTACGACATGCTCATGCTGTGCACGCGTGTACGTGCATATGCGGTCTCAGTATGCAGGCTCAACTGCCTGCCAGCAACGGCTACTACACGCGGCCAGCTAGAACATCAAAAGGTCGACATGGCGGCCACGACGAAGTTCTACACCAAGGAGGTCACCTGCGGCACCACCGGCGACACCCTTGACATGGAGGACGGCATGTACGACGCATCGTCGCCGGACGACAGTAAGTAAATACAGGCCCTCACCAAGGTCCACAACATCACGCACGACACCCAGGCCAATACAGAACAGGTATGTTCCCAGATTGCCGACGTCGAGTACGCGGTGCGGCGCTACATTAAGCGCCACAACAACAAGTTGTTGACCTCTTGCGAATGTTCTGGAGACTGCATCGACGGCATGCACACCATCGACTAGAGGCCTGGCGCCATGCACGACTCGAAATTCACACTTACTTTGTTGCGCCACGGCTCTCTCGTACCCCACCAATGGCGCCTCTACATGGACGCGAACTCCTGGCCGGATGTCGCGAACACCAAAATTTACCCCGAAGCAATCAACACACGAACTCCGCCACGACGTCGGGAACCATGGAGGAGGCACTACAGAAGAAGATAAGCGACAAGGAGGTGCACGATTACCCGGCGAACTACCCTGACCAGCCCGTGGTCCGATAACGCGCGAGAGGGTCCCAGGCTGCACTGCACAAACAAGTTGCTTTACAACCCGCTCGAGAACAACGAGATTCACGACTTCCTCAAGCCACGCTACCCAGACGGGGAGCACGTACTGCCTAGCGCTTGGAAAAAAGACGGAACCCCGACATCCTACGAGATCGCAAGATTCATGGATACCGCCTTCGAGACCTACCAGAGCGACAACCGACGACAACAACGAAGTGAAGAACTACCACCGCGAGGCGTCCTTAGCTCCAATGGCATCGTCAACAAGCGGGAGAGGGACGCCGACAACGACGAGGAAAAGAGCTGATGGGATACGGCTATCAATTGCGGCCGGCTGCACTACGCGGGCGTTTCCCAGGCCTGTTCCAAGTACATCCTCCCTGGTTGTGCAAGCTACAGTCCTACAATCGCCGCATACCTGCGCGACAGTTCTGGGTAAAAACATCCACCCATGCCAGCTCCAGTTCTCCTACTCTAGCCCCGCTTCCAGCATGCTTACGTTCAGCGCACGCACGGACAATCAGCTGGCTTGCCAGACTGTCTTCTGCGGCCGCGAAACTCCAGGCTGCAATGGATACTGAGGGACCATCAGATTGCTGTGCGGTATCAGTTGTATGCTTTTATTGTTTGTACGACAGGGACCGAAGAGCTACCTAACGAACAGAGCCTGCACTATCAGCCTACTCTTTGCTGGCGGCACGAAGTATCACATCGAGATACTCGACCCGCCGGGAGCAGCCATCACAGACGAATGTTACAAGGAGAACGGCCGATCGCCCCCAATGGCACCGCAGGACAAGCGCGGGCCTGTGGATCACATCCACGGAGATACGAAGCGCCCCCGCGGCCTTCGCAACCCCAGAAGCGGGCGCTAGACTACGACAAGAACTACTTCGGGCACAACCAGTCGTATTCTTTTTTCTCTCGCGCATTACCTGCAGGCCATTACGTCAAACTGTTCGCAGCGCTACAAAAGTTGCATCGTGGTACATCGACTATTATGTTACCGTGCTTCGCCGATTGCGACACAGAAAAGGACGCCGCGCAAACCGCTACAGGTAAGGTACTACGTCGTCAGTAAGCATCGCATCCGCTAGTGGGCGGCCCCACCCCCGTCCCCAACCCCCCGCCATTATATTCGTCAGGGTACAGTAGTTCGAACCTCCCCACCCCACCCCCTACCCCCCTCGAAATTGAAAGACGTCCTACCTGCAGTTGTTGGTGGGGACCGCGTCGCGCGCGGCGGCCGCTCCCTGAAGCGCCGAGCGGCGCGCGCCGCGGATCAGGCGGAGCGGGGAGGAGGAGGGCGAGGAGCAGGAGGAAAAGGAGGAGAAGGAGCGGGAGTAGGAGGAAAAGGAACAGGAGGAGGAGGAGGAGGAGGAGGAGGAGGAGGAGGAGGAGGAAGAGAGCCCGTGGTTGGCCGCCCCCGGAGGCCCAATGGGAGCTCATTTGATCGGGCCCCGCGCGGGCCTCGGCCCCCTCGCGCGTGGCCCCACCGACGGGAAAACTTTGCAGGGGGGGCCCAGAAAGGGGCCCTTCAGAGCTCGGGCGCGCAGCGTCTTCGATGGCGGGGCCACGCGCGAGCTTGGATCTCCCTGCGCGCGGTCGGGGCTACGCGCGAGCATCGGTTTCCCTGCGTGCGGCCCGATCGAAGAGGAGGCCCTGCCGAGGGGGGCCCGCGGGAGCTCGAGCGCGCAGCGCTTCGATGGGGCCACGCGCGGCGAGCATCGGCTTCCTTTCGCGCGTGACCCCGTCGACGAGGAGGCCTTGCGGGGTGGCCCCACGGGGGCCCCAGTGGAGCTCAGGCGCGCAGCGCCCCGACGGGGGCCGCGCGCGAGCGTTCGGTTTCCCTGAGAGCGGCCCCATCGACGAGAGGTCGCCCCGCAGAGAGGGGGGGGGCGCGCCGGGCCCGCGGCCCGTGCCGTGAAGGGCCACGGGGGGCCCGGAAACGGCGGGGGGCTTCCAGATCCCAGGCCGTCCCCAAGCTTTCCAGCGGTGCGTTGCTGAGCCCATTCGGGATTTGAGCCCGTGCGGCCGCCGAGTGGGCTCCAGATCGAGCCCGCTTGGCCGCCGAACGGGCGAGATTCCCTCCAGCATCTCGGATGTGAGCCCGTTCGGTTGCCCACTCGTCGGCCGAAAAGGCTCACGCGCCAGATGGGCTCAGAGAGAAACCCTGGATCTGTCCAGTTGTGCGTTCTGACGATAGCTTTTGTGTGGGACCCAGCTGCGGCGACGGGAAGCTTCCCAGAAGTCCCCCCCCCCAAGCACAAGCCTCGATCCTCGAGCGTTGATCTTGCGCGCGGCCAAGAGGAGAAGGCCCTGCAGAGGGAGGTGCGCCGGGCGCGGGCCCGCAGGTCTGGGGCGACGAAAGGGGGGGATGATTGGGCTCGGGGGGGGGAGCGCGTCGAACCCCAATCGCCCACTCATCGCCGACACTTGCGGACTCGCCTTCGGGGCCCCATCGCCGATCAATCGGCGATGCACCGCCGATGCCGGGCCGATGCTCTCCCCCATGAGCCCACGCCGAGTTCCGGCGTCGCGATTCTCTGTCACAGCGCAGACCCCCAGAGGTCGGGACCCCCTCCCTGCGACTGGTGTTTCATCGCGGGTCGGTTTCTGGCTGTCCCATGGCCCTGCGAGGGCCCCTGGAGGCCAGAGCTGCGACCCCTTCCTCGGCAGGATGCAACGGGAGGCTGGCGGAAGTGGAGCGAGGGGGCGGCTCCGCCAGCAGAAGGCCCGCGGAGGCCAGCGGAAGTAACACCGGGCCCGCAAGAGATGGCAAGGTCTTTTGGTTCGTCGGGGGTGGACAGACCTCCTACCCTGACACGTCGATTAGCGAATTGGCCGGTTTCGGTTCGCGAGGGGGCGTCGCGGCCGTCGTTTTGGCGGGTCCAGGTCCGCCGGTTTCGGTCCCAGGCCGTTTTCATTAAGGTGAGGTCTACTAAAGGGAGGTTTGCCCACCGCCGAGCTCGGGGCTTTCAGAGACAGCCATACATCTTCGGCTGAGTTGCCGTCACACGCCCGCTGTGAAGCGCAGCACGTGCCGTTGTCGGAGCGTCCGTGCTAACCCGCTGCGTGTCGGCTGAACGTGTTGGCCCGCGTTTCGGCGAACGCATCGCGCCAGGCCCACGTTTGCAGTCTGCGTGTAGAGCTCCGTGCCAACACGCTACGTGTTGCGTGTTGCGAGGCAGCCAGCAGCGGTATCGTTGAACCGATCCCTATCCCCATCCCCATCGGGATCCCCACCATCCCACCACCCCAGTTGGGGATGTGCCCTTCGAAACTCAACGGGAACAGCTGATATCCCCATCTAGAGGGGGTACGTCGGCCACTGGGGCCCATGCAACGCCAGTGGGGATAGGGATCGTTGAAGCGTTGCTCACAAGATCGTCGGAGACTATACGCGGCACCCCGAAGTCCAGACCCTTTTCCGCGGGACTGATTCCCGTTTTGAGCCGTTTTTCGACGACCCCAGGGGCACGGCGAGGGCCCCGAGAGGTCGAAAACGGCAGTAATCGATTACACGCAAGAGTGACCTTTTGCTGGAGTGACCTGCTGGTGCGGGCCACTTGGGTCCCCTGCGATGCGATAGTTGCGTCGTGGGCGCTTGGGTTTAGTTCCCCCGCGGCTCCCCAAAAGCCGCGCACCCCAAAGGTCATTCATGCCTAGAGTCACTCTTGCGCGTAGCCGAAAAAACAACTCCCGTTTTGATGTTTCCACGAGCGCGAGCGCGATCACGGTTTTTTCAGGGTGCGGCCCCCCGAAGCCCCGACCTCTTCCCCTGGATCGGTTCTCATCTTGAGCCGTGGTTCGGCCGGCCCCGGGGCCCGGCGAGGGCCCCGAGAGGCCGAAAACGGCGAGAACGGAGGAGCGACGCAAAAATGGGGGGTCGCCTGCGCCGACGCTGGCGCGCAAGCTGCCCGCGCAGGGTCGCGCGCGAGCGCCCTCGCTTCCAGTGTGGCGTGCCGCGCTCGCGGCCCGCGTAAGTCGGGCCGGACGAAAGGGGGGGATAGGGAAAGGGGGGGTTACCGAGGGGCCCATTCCTCGATACATGGCCGCCTCCCGGCGCCGGGAGGGGCCGGGAAAATCAGCTACGTGAGCTGATTCTCAAACCCCCCCTTTGCTATCCCCCCCTTTCGCCCGGCCCGAGTAAGCCGCCACGCAGGGTCGCTGCGTCATCTCGCGCAGGGCCCTTCCTGTGCTCGTCGCACGCGTCCCGCCGTGATTCTGTCCACGGGCGCGAGCGCGTCGGGGCATCGGGAGGAGGAGGAGGAGGAGGAGGAGGAGGAGGAGGAGGAGGAGGAGGAGGAGGGGAGGAGGAGGAGAAGGAGGAGGAGGAGGAGGAGGAGGAGGAGGAGGAGGAGGAGGAGGAGGAGGAGGAGGAGGGGAGAGGGAGGAGGAGAGGAGGAGAAGGAGGAGGAGGAGGAGGAGAGAACGAGGAGGGGGGGAGAAGAAGAAGGGGGAGGAGAAGGAAAAGGAGGAGGAGGAGGAGGAGGAGGAGGAGGAGGAGGCAGGAGAGGAGGAGGAGGAGGAGGCCGAGCTCGTCGGAGATCTGGGCGGGGCCCCGCCGTGCCCCCGCGGCGAGGGGCGACGGCGGCGACCCCGCCGCGGCGGCAGCGGCGGGCGGTCGCTCCGACGCTCGGGCGGGGCGCGGCCGCGGCCGCGGCGCGGGCGCGGGCAGCGGGGGCGCGCGGTGAGCGCCGCGAAGAGAAAGAGCGAGGCTCTACACATGTTTCATATCTGATTCTTCGAAAGTTCTCTGATTTTTCGGGAGGCCAAGATCCTTTCATTTCTAGTTGTTCTATCGTGGGCCTCTTCCTGGCCACTAGGGGGCCAGGAACAAGTAGAAACGAGCACAAATAGAATTGAGCACGAGTGGGAATGAACGACGTGTAGGCCTCCCAGGTGGGGTCGGAGCCTCGCGCCGCCTCGCCGATGCACCGCCGGTGTGGCTCGACCTGGAACCCGATGTGCTGCACGTCGGCGTCGCCAGTGCCTCGCCGATGCCGGCGTTGTATCGCCGGCGCATCCCCGATGCATCGCCGATGCATCGCCGATGCATCGGCGATGCGGCGCGATCCTCCGAGCCCATCTACTCCGACCCCATCTGGGAGGCCTCTAGGGGCGACAGCCCCGGCAGGATTTGTTTTAAAGCATCACCGAGCGCGCTCACTACTCGCAAAGTGGCTGCTCGCAAACGTCCCCAAAAAACATTTGTTTGCCTCGATTTCGGAGCGGCCGCTCCGGCCTGCTCGACGCAGAACTCTCCCACGTCCGAGCGCTTTTCCCTCCTCCCCCTGCGCGGCCGCCTTCGTCTTCTTCCCCCTCTTGCACGCCGACCAATTAGCCTTTCGTTTACCCCGACTAGCCACACGCTGGGGCGGACTGACTCTGCCTCGCCGCCGACGAAAAAAGTGTTTGCCTCGATGTAATCCATCGTAGATCTCCGCGGCGGATCCAGGTCATTTGCGAGCAGTTGGTTTGCGAGTAGTGGAACGCGCTTGCCTGTAACTTCCACGCACCTGCCAGAGTGGTACAACAGGGAAGACGGCGCCTCCTCCCCGAGAGGTGTTTCTGCACCACCAAACTCGATCGAACAAACGGCCACAGGCCAGACAACTGTGACTCACAGTGGAAACCCATGCCAAGAAACACCCTGCTTGCCTCCAGGGTGCCCTGGGGTTCTTGGGTTTCGATGGTTCTGCCTTGGGCAGCGCAGCGCTCCCACACCCAAAATCGATCGACGTCCTGGGGTCTCGGGGTTGGGCCTCTTGTGGAAGGCTTCTTCTTGGGCGAGCTCCTGCTGCCGTGCGAGAGAGCAGCCCGCAGCCAAGCCGCGGCTGCACAGACGGAACGGGCAGGACGGGCAGGCGCCGAGGAAGCCGAGCCGCCGAGCGGGCGAACGGCGGGGGAGGCGGCGCAGCCGAGGCCCGCGCGGCCGAGAGGGAGCGGCCCGCGACGCGGGGGGGGGGGGGGGGCGGAGCGGCCCGAGCGGGCCTTCCCCGCCCTCCTCGTCTGGGCACCCTCCGGGCGCGTGCGCTCGTGCTCCTCGGCGATTGCCAGCGAGGAGCATCCCGGGGCGTCGGGCAAGAAGAAGAAGAAGAAGAAAAAGAAGAGGAAGAAGAGGAAGAAGCGTGCCCGAGGCCGAAGAGGTGGTGCTCGAGGAGAGTGGGCGTCCGAGCGGTGGCAGGTCGTCTGCCTCGCTCTTCCTCGGGGCCTCCCCGGAGCTCCCTCGCCGCGGGCGGGGGGGTAGCTTCTCAGCCACGCCCAGAGGGGGGGCGGGGGGGCGCGGGGAGGGCTTCTTAGCAGCACCCCTGCTTCTTCTCAGAAGGCGCGGGCCTCCTCTGCAGATGTGAGGCCGGCGCCTTCTAAGAAGCAGCTTGCTTCTGAGAAGCCCTCCCCCCTCCCCCCGCCCCCTTTGTGCGCGCCGCCGAGCTTCGGGGAAGCGCGGGCGCACGGGCTCGGGCGCGCGGGTGACAAAGTCGGCGCGCCGCGCCACGAGATCCTGGCGGCACGGGCGCCGTGTCTCGGGGCCGCCCTCCCCGCTCCTCCTCTCCCTTGGCTCTCCAAGGGATGAGGTTTCGGCACGATGCAGGACAAAGACGCGACAGTCAGGTTGATTCGTGGCGCTGAATTCCGAGATTGGTGTTGTGGTACGCTTCAGGATCTTCCAACGGTTGTCTCCCGACGGGGCACTTCCCATGGTGGGCATGAATCCTTGTCTGGGGCCTATGAAGAGGGAGCTTGGATGGAGGGCCTCTTCCAGCATCGACGATGATTCTTGGGCTTGCACTGGTCCTCCTCCTCCTCCCTCTGCTCGGCCTCCCTCCAGGGGAGGAGGATCGAGGCCAGACGATCGAGGATCGAGGCCAGGTGCCCGCCCCTTGCCTGTCACGGCTGGCGAGCGGCTCGGGAAGGCGAGAAGAGTGAGAGGACCGAGGTCAGCGTTGCGTTGTCTTTGTTTTTTGGCAGACAACAGGCACACAGTCGGCCCGGATTAGTAGGTCGACCCTGCCAGCTCAAGGGTGCCTTTGTGTCCTGTGTCTCGTGACACGTGCCCTCTTACATTACTATGGCAATGTGACCCTCGGAAGGGCCTTGTGTCCTCTCGCGTGTCCTGTCCAATAAAGTCCGACTGTACCCGAAACGACCATACCCCCAACACGACCAATCTGAATTCGTTCAGGCACCTTGCTCGAAAGCATCAGCATATAGGCTGCCAGCGTACGCTTCTTGCGCACGCCTCCACGACCCCACATACCCGCCATAGGCGCGCAGGCTGAATTTGGCTTCCCAGAGCCCGAATCGTGCCAGACGAAGGAGTAGGATAGGGAAAGGGGGGGCTACGAAGTCTGCTGCATGCAGCTGGCTTCGGCCCCGCCGCCGGGCCCATTCCTCGAGACGCGGGCGCCTCCCGGCCCCGGGAGGCGCCAGGGAAACCAGCCACGTGGGCCGATTCTCTTTGCTATCCTATACCCTTTGCTATCCTATACCCTTTTCGCACGGGGCCAGGGCGAAGAGAAATCCGTTCCAGAGCGTTCCGGAACGCTCTCAGAGCGTTCTGGAGCGTTCTGAGAAGGCCGCGGCGCCCGAGGCATCTTCCAGAGCCGCGGGATCTCGGAGATTCCCGAGTTGTCCCCACCCGATTTGTTTCGTCGTCCTGGCTTCACCTTTCGCCCCCCCCCCCCCCCTTCGAATTTGGCCTCCCAAAGCCCCAAGATAGGGGGGGGGGAGCACCCGTGCGAGCGGCAAATCCGACTCGGGTGAGCTGGCCAGAAGGCGCTTCACGATGCATCGGCAGCGGAGGCCGAAGCCAAAGCTGAAGCGCACAGAGAACCGGAACGGGCCCATCCTGCAGGTTTCGTTGAGTTGACAGCCACATGCGAACCCTACCCATACCCCCCACGATTTCTGAGGGGGGGGTGGGGTTCACTTCGTTCGGGAGCTCCCGACCCCGCCTCTGGCGCGCTCCGCGCGCCAGGGAGGGGTTCTGGCGCTGGTCCGAGAGATCTGCGCGGACCTCCGAGAAGGTATGTCAATGTCGTGATCTGTTCCTCGAATCAGGTTGCTCCAGCGTTCCTGGGCTTCCCGAGGCCTTCCTCGGGTCGGGCGAAAGGGGGGGGATAGGGAAAGGGGGGGTTACGAAATCTGCTGCATGCAGCTGGTTTTGGCCCCGCCGCCGGGCCCATTCCTCGATACATTGGCGCCTCCCGGCGCCGGGAGGCGCCAGGAAAATCAGCGACGTGAGCTGATTCTCAAACCCCCCCTTTGCTATCCCCCCCTTTCGCCCGACCCGACTTCTGGGACGTCCAGCATTATGCTCGTTCGCTCGTCTTGAGCTGGGCTCGTCCTCGTTCGCTGTCTCACGCCTGGCGCTGCAGCGAGCGCCCTCATCATGATGCTCCTCTCGGAAGGGGAGGGGGCATCGGGAGGAGCAGGAGGAGCTGAAGTCGGCACGAACGAAATGGGTACGGACAGAATGGGTACGATGCCCAACAGCAGCTCCTGTTCAGTTTGAACAGGACTCGCTGTCCGCGCCGCCGCGGCTTGTGTCCATTTGAGAGAGAAGGCCGCCTGCCCAACAGCGGCCGCTGTTGGTTTGGGGCATTGTACCCATTTCGTCCATACCCATGTCGGGCGTCCAAATGAAGGTTTTCGGGCAGCTTTTCTCGGAGGTTCCCCCACCAGTGCTTGCGCTGAAGCGGTTCCCGCTTGCAGCGCAGGTGCCGCCGGGGCGCTGAATTCTCGGGGCCTTTTTGGGGCTCGGGAGGGGGTCCGGTTGTCGGGCCGCTCCTCGGATCTAGCCCGGAGGGCGCAGTCGTGGCTTGGGCTCGCCGGGGCCAGGAACAGCTTGGGTTCTGGGTGGAAGCAACAACGTAGATTATGCCGCTGCTTGACGCGACTCATGGTGCGACGACGGCTGCGATATCGTCTCTCGAAGAAGTATGACTCGTGTGATTGTAAGTTGTCTCAGCTCCGAAGGTTCATGTCTGTGGTGCGTTGTATCACTCAACCTTCACTCCCCCCTCGCGGGCAGGAGGATGCTGCTGGAGGCGGCACCAACAAGGCGGACGCGCCGAAGGTCAGGAGACCCAGGACCTGGACAGGCAGAGGGAGGAGGGAGGGGGGCAGAGAGCGAGAGAGGGAGGTATAAACAGGAAGCGAGGCACCCGGGGCCGGGAGGGGAGGGAAGAAGGGGAGAGCAGGAGCAGCAGAGAGAGACCGGGAGAGATCGAGCTACATACAGCGAGGGCCTCTGCCTTCCAGGGGCAATTGCACGGCCGCCTGGAGCGGGCCTCCCGGGCCCAGCATCCAGGCTTCGGCCTCTGGAGGATCCGACCGCCCGCTGCTCCCGACGGGGAGGCAGCGACGGGGTGGAGCGGGGGCGGAGGGCTGAGCCGGCGGGAGGGTGCCGGAGAAGGGCCTTCCAGTCCTCGGGGCCTCCCCGAGGGGGCCACCCCCGGGGCCCTCCCGCCCGGGTGGCCACGCTGCGGCACCGCACGGGCGTGTTCCCGTGCGGGCTCGCGGGCAGCACATACAGAGGCTGCCGCGCGCTGGGGCTGCAGGCCATGCACGACGCGGCACTGGAGGGTGGGCGATAGTTCAGTCGGGCCTGTCCCTCTACAGGAGGAATATTCAAAGGTAGTAAAAAAAGGTAGTCTTGGGACGATGTTTTTAGTATTTTTGATGATTTGGGGGGTATTGTTTTATATATATATATATATATATATATATATATATATATATATCCGCTCAGAATCCCCCTGTAGGGGGGCGCGCCCGACCTGAGGCGAGAGCGAGTCCAGCGGGGGAGATCGGCCGGAGGAAGGGCGTCAAGTGAGGTGTTGGCACGTCCAGTGTCCCTCTCCCCTCTCTCTCCCCTTCTCTCATCGCATGTCCTCTTTCGTCTGTCCTCTCGCACCGTGACCTCCCCTCCTCTCTCCGTTCCTCATCCACTGACCTCCCCTCTCCTTGTCCCCCCCTTTCCTCTATCAACACTGGCTTGAGTCCGAACGCATGATCGATTCGCGCGGTTGGCCGAAACTTTTCTGCCACTCATCACCTGCAGAAGCGTAAGAACAGCTCTTCTGAGTTGACGAAGAACGTGAGGGGTGGAACATGCATGCATACTCTGCCGCACGTGCCGAGAATCCTTGTCCGTTGTAAGATGCAGCCTCTGGCATTCCGTGTCTTCACCATATGGCCTCTGCCATCCCCCCCTCATGCTCCCCCCCGGGAGACGGCAGGATGAGCCCTGCAGCACAGGCCGCTGAGCAGAAAGTCGGAGGCGACGCTGCCCCTCGGGACCCTCGCCTCTGGACGCCCGTGACCCTGGGAAGATGCAAATACTCGCAGCAAGCGTCACGAAGAAGAAGAAGAAGAAGAAGGAGTTGCCTTCCCAGAAGCATGCGTCGTTACAGGAAGTGTCTGACATGCAGATTGTAGACATATCACCTGCGGGACCGCCGTCTGATATAAACTGTTTTGGGGAGGGGATGGGCGCAGCTGTTGGCATGTGGTTGTCCCCGTGTCAGATGTTCGACATGTATACTCGCAAAACCTTAACACACGTATAACCAGTACACCTCGTGGTGCAGATCCTACCATGCGCCTCAGCGCAATTCAACATGTCATAATTGTTCTGGATACCACTCACCACATGCCACGCCGTGCACCAGCTCCTTAAAACGGCATGGCTTCGTCTGGCCCATTAACATCCAAAGCCGCACATGTGCCTAACTCACGCGATTCGCTGGCTTATGCCACTCACGTTCTACGTATGTATACCATGTAATCCTGTGCGCATGCGAAATAGCATTACCTGGGCAGCCTTTCAACCCGTCTAATTAGTGCCACGTTCTAATCCTCATATGTTTCGGGCCACCCAAGCTCTGGCCAAGTCCTTAAACACCTCCCAATGTTTCCCCAGCAGGGCATACATCATAACAAGTATCGTTCCCCTGAATGTACCGTCTAGCAGTTGACGAACTATTCATAGGGACAGCCACTCCGTCGTGTTTAACTGATATAACTGGTCTGCCGCTCCTAGCTGTGCCTACGAACCAAGCTCATCCGACTCTTCTAACTATGCATGGCTTCGTCTCGCTGGAATGTCGTCTTCGGCATCCCTGACCACTCTGTAAGTCGGCCTATCATGTACAGTTCCGCTGAATATGACGATGTGTCAAACTATTACTACAGGCCTGTAATGCGCATATGTTGTAGTGAATATGTTGTATACAACTGTACAGTATGCAAGTTCGACACACTTATAGATCGAACTTGCCGAACTGTCATACCATGTGCAGGGCGATGTTTATCGACTAGTTAACAACCGCTACCTGTCGAATCACAGAACGGCCATTGCGAATAATAGGTATAAGGGTACGCAGGGTTTCCCCTTGCCGCCCTCCCCCCACCTTCTGAGTGACTGCATGGATGGGTTGGTTGGCTGGTTGGCTGCCTTACTCTCTAATCCATTGGTCCGCAGCTCGGCTGGACGGTTGGTCGTTAGGTTGGTTGATGGTTGGGTTCGGCTGCCTGGGGCGCAACGAGCTCTTTGCCTCCCACGCTCTCACAAGCCCGCAGTGTAGTGGCGCTTCCGTGGACAGTTCTGGGGAAGGTCAGCGCCCGCTCGGCGCGCTCTGTCTGCCCCTACGTCCAGAGCAGTTCCTTGAGCAGCAGAATGCGCGAGGGTCTCGTCCTCCGGGTACTTTCCTTTGCATTGCCCCCCATTCAGCGGGATTTCGATACGCCTCTCCCAAGGAAAGAGGGATTCAACATCTCCGCGATGATCTTGCAAGGGGCGCGCACAGAAGTTCTATTCGTTGGCTCATCTGGATTCCGGATCCTTCGCTCCCTCGCGACATCTGAGTTCTAGGAATGATATTGCGAAGACCCCCCCGTTTCTTGGCAGAGGGTTGACCCGTTGGCGAGGCATTCGCCGCCAAATTGTTGTTCTTTCGCGTACTGTATTCCCATCATCCGGCTCCCTCCAGTCGTGCCTGGCCTTCACTAATTATCTGGCATTGCGCCCCATTGCCTATTGACACGCCCTCTGGACTTTTCCTTGCGGGCCGCCGAACAAAAAAAGTATTCCCATCAGCCCATCCAGAAATGATGTCCAGGCGAGTTGCCTTGACCATAGAATTGTAGGAGCAAACAGTGGAACAAAGAGGAGGTCAGCCGTCAAACAAGAGCTCGGGACCTACTTGAGCAGGCCCAGGAGTCAACCATTATGTTTTCGAGAAGCTTTCGGTCTGGAAGTTCCATTGGAAGATGATCTAACCCGCAAAGCGGGAGTCACGGCGGGCCCCCAGGGGAAATTTGCGCGCAGATTTTGCAATCAGTGGGTGTTCGGGGATTTGCTTCGACGAGGGTCTGTACCACTCGTGGCACCATTTCTCAAAGCCATATTGACGTCCCTTGGGGGGGGCAGGCGGTCTCGGGAGCCAACAGACGGCTGCTGGGGGCCCATGGGCCACGAAGAGCGTGAGGGCTGTGCCGGATCTAAGCTCCCTTGAACCATCTGTTGGTCACTTGAGGGCCCTCGGGGCTCATAAGGCACGAAGTGCGTGAGGGGTGTGCCGAAGTAAGGCTCCCTTCTTAAGCCGTCTTGAGGGCCAGCGGACCGCCCTGGGACCACGGGGCACGAAATACGTAATGGGTGTGCCGCATTGGGCCCAAGGAACCATATGTGGGGACTGCTGAGCACAGGCATGAAGTGCGTGAGGGACGTGCCGAATTGAGGCCCTTGTGAAGATTGACCTTCGAATCCGTCGTGTTTTCCGTGTCCCAGAGGCTCGGGGGCGCGGGAAATGCGTGAGGTGTGTGTGTGTGTGTGTCGAATTGAGGCCCTCGTGGCCCCGGGAGCACATATCACCCGTAGGGTGCACATGTCCGGGGGGAATCCCCAGGAACCGGCCAGCGGAATGCACGAAGCCGTGGTCAGCGTGCATTTCGGCGGCGAGCGCGGGGGGGGGGGAGTGAGAAGGGGCGGGCCTCCTCAGAAGGCTCGGAAGTCCCCTGGCGTCCTGAACAGTTTTCTAAGCCTTCCCCTAAGGCGCAGAACATGTTTCAGAAGGCGCGAGGGTGTCTGAGAAGTCCAGCCGCCTTTGGAGAAGCCATGTTCCTTCTCACTTCCCCCCCCCTCGCTCAGGGCCCGCAGGAGCCCCGCCGAATTCGACCGTTTCGCTTCTTTCGGCGGCAATCAGTGCAGCATCGTTGGCACTTGCTCGCCTGCTCGCAGGGACATTTGGGGGGCCTCGTGGGGCATCTTGTGGCCTTTCGGGGGGCCTTGGGGGTTTACACACAGCCTCTTGGGGGCCGTCTGGCAGTCTCGGGGGCCGCCTTTTGGAGGAAGGGCTCGAAATCTCAATTCGGGTTCCCCCTCTTGGGCCCCTCTTGGGGTCACTTGAGCCCTCTCGAAGCCTCTTGGGCAGTCTTGGAGCCATGTTGGGTCGTTTTAGAGCCCTCCTGGGAGCCTCTTGGGCTGTCTTCGGGCAATACGGGGGGCATCTTGTGCCGAATTGGGCGGTCAGAAGCCCGAACAGGTTGGAAGATTGTTGGGTACATTTTGGAGGAGTTGTTCTGGGGGCTTTCTCGGGAGGCCTTCGGGCCTTATTGGGAACATCGTGGATAACATCGATCAGCAAAGAGGGGGGTCCTCGATTCGAGACCCCCCGTCGCACCACGAAAAATCGCCTCTCGGCTTTGTTTGGGGGGGATCTTGGGAGCCAATTTGGAGCCATTCGTCTGCTTCTCGAGGGGGCTATCGTGGAGCCATCTGCAGGCTTCAATAACCCGGGGAAGCGAAAAAGCGGCACGTTTTTTTCTGTTGCACAAAAAACGTTCATGCTATGTTTAACGTAAAAGACAGATCGGGGATACATTTGGGAGCCTCATTGCCCTTTTTGGAGCTTCTCGGAGGCATCCTGGAGGACATGTTGAGCAATCGTGGGCTCTCTTGTGCCATCTTGGAGGCCACATGTGGAAATGTATGGTCATACTGGAGGCATGATGGGTTATACTGGACTCTGCTATGGGCTGCGGTGGGCGCCGTCAAGACCCTGGGGAGGAGGTTCGGGCGAGAGGTAAACTCCGCCTCATCGGAGGAACTCCCTAAACCCTCAGCCATCTACGCCCAGGGCGCTGCTAGACTTTCAAGGAAGGTCTGTGGGGGGGGAGGGGGAGACATCAGCGCGCTCCTCTGCAGTTTGGCTCAGCCACGCGCGCCCGCTATGACTACCAGCACGCTTGTTGGCACGATATGGCAGGAAAAGGATACTCATCCTTCTCTACACCACCGTACATCCCATACCGTCTACCTTGTGGCATATGGCAGCGATGTACGATGTGATGTTACCACGTTGGCGTCGACTTCGTAGCGGAGCTGGCCACACTCTCGTACGGTTAGCTCCCAAAGTTGGCTTCAACCTACCACTTAATCGCACGAACCTGTCGGACCTACTGATACTCCTTACTACGAGCCCAGACTCCATCTGCGACCCCGTGGATCTATTCGAGCTTGGAGTTTTAACATGTTTCACTCGTTGAATCGTTCACGAAAGACGAATAAGCATGGTATGACGCCGCGCGCAAAACGTCTTGAACCTTCAGCCACGACGACTGGCCAAGTCCACTGATACACATGCCCCGCGCAAGTATGCGTATGAACAACACACAACAAAACTGAATGTCGTGGGACGGGCTGTCTACACCATTGTATGGCTCAGCATTGGATCCGCTATCGGTTCCTCCTCCTCCTCCTCCTCCTCCTCCTCCTCCTCCTCTGCCCCCCCTCCTCCGCCTCCCCCCCTGCTCAACCTCCCCCTCCTCCTCTTCCTCATCACCCTCCTCTTCCTCCTCCTCCTCCTCCGCCTCCCCCTCCTCAGCTTCCCCCTTCTCTTACTCTTACTCCACTTCTCTCCAACTCCTCCTCCCCTTCCCCGTTCTCCTCCTCTTTCTCTTCCTCTTTCTCCTCCTCCTCCTCCTCCCCCTAATCCTCCTCTTCTTGCTCCTCCTCCTCCTCCTCCTCCTCCTCCTCCTCCCCTCCTCCTCCTCCTCTCCTCCTGCTCCCCACTCCTCCTCCTCCTCCTCCTCCTCCTCCTCCTCCTCCTCCTCCTCCTCCTCCTCCTCTGGCGGGGCGCCGCGCACCGGCAGGTGCCACCAAGAGATTCGACCCCACGAAGCAGGCCCGCCGCCGCGGCCACCGAGCCGAGAGGGCGGGGCTCCGCGGGAGGTGCGCGGGACGACTGCCTCCCGAGAGGGGGGCGATGGCTTGGGAGGCATGCCCTATTGTGCTCAGCTCCGCATTCTTCCCACACCTGCTTCCCTTGGCCCCCTCGGTCCGAAGCCGTGTCGGGTGTCCATGTTGGCGCCGTCCCTTTGTGATCAGCTCCGCGTTCTTCTCGCACCTGCTCCCCCTGGCCCCCTCGGTCCGAAGCCGTGTCGGCCATCCATGTTGGCGTCCCCCTAGCGGTGCCGGTGGGCACGGCCGCTCAACATTTGGCACCGGGCACCTACGCAGACGGCAGCAGCAGAGGAATCGCAGCCACCAGAGGGGAGGCGGGGGACCTATTATCGTCGACGGGAGGGAAGGGGAGAAAGTTGTCGCCGGTTGTTAGTCGTGCTCTCGCCTCTTGGGCGTGGGCGTCGGGAAGCGATGTGTGGTCGCAGTTAGATGATGGCTACTTGCACCGTACAAGCAGGAACGTGTTTCGCCCATTCCCAGCGCCGCGCGCGGCCGCGCTCATGGGCGAACTAGGAGACGCCTCGACACGCCTCGCCTCGGGGTGCTCTCCAGCAGTTGCGCCTCGTCGAGGGTTTCCCCGGGGTGCCCTTGGATGTTCTGCTTGTTCCCCACATGCTTAGTGGGGTTATGGTTTTCTTCTATGCCTCGTCGCACCCGCGCTCACTCACCTCACCTCCCTCTTCCCCTTCTCACACAGCGCAGCACAGCACAGCACTGCTCAGCATAGCTCAGCTCAGCACAGCACAGCACAGCACAGCACAGCTCAGCTCAGCACAGCAGGGCATAGCAGACGAGGCATTTTCTCGACACCATAGGGGGTGCGCATGGGGTGGTCCCTCAGCGCGGCCGCTATACACGACGGTCGTCCAGGGCATACCAGGCGTGGCATTTTCTCGACACCATTGGGGGTGCGCAGGGGGTGGTCCCTCAGCGCGGCCGCTATACCCGAAGGTCGTCCAGGGCATAGCAGGCGTGGCATTTTCTCGACACCATAGGGGGTGCGCAGGGGGTGGTCCATCAGCGCGGCCGCTATACACGACGGTCGTCCAGGGCATAGCAGGCGCGGCATTTCTCGACACCATAGGGGGTGCGCAGGGGGTGGTCCCTCACCGCGGCCGCTATACACGACGGTCGTCCAGGGCATAGCAGGCGCGGCATTTCTCGACACCATAGGGGCTCTTGGGGGCTTCTTGGGAGCGTCTTGGGGCTCCTTGGCGGCGTCTTGGGCTCCCCTGGGGCCTCTTAGGGGGCTCTTGGAGGCCCCTTGGGGCGGGAGGGGGGGTAGTCGATTGCAGCCACCCCCTCGGAGGCCGCGATCCTCGTGAGGGGTGGCGAAAAATAGCCTCCCCCCTGGGGATCACCCGGGACCCGGCCGGGGATCAGCCGGGGTCTTTTTCATCTGGGGGCCCCCAGGGGCCGCCCCGCGCGCGCAAACTAGAAATAGTGTTAAGTAGTTACCGGAGATCTCAGCACGCCTCTGGCCCGTTGGGCCGGCGAATTCCTCCGGGGTTTCATGCAGGCGGCGACCGTGTCAAGGAGCCCTCCGAGGGTGCTTAGCTTGGCCTCGAATGCCCCAATGGCCCCAAAGACCGTCCAGCGGATCCAGTCTAGGCCCCAGTTGTCTCTCAGATGATTCTGAACATATTCCGAGATGTCCCCATGTGAGTCCGTATTTGCTCGAAGAGCTCAAGAAGAGGTCCTAGCGGTGTCCACGGTGCCATCCAACGGGCCATTTGAGAGTTACCTCAGGCTTACAAGTTGGCCCAAACCAGACAGACCCATGATATTCTATTCCAACGTGTACTTCAGATTCGGCCCCATGAGTCCACGAGAGCCCCATAAGAGCCTCTTATTTCCTCCGTCCCTCATTTTTACTCCCTCCCTTTTCGAACGTATCTCGTTTGTCCTGCCACCTCTTCTCTACTGCCCCCTTGCTCCTCTATCCCACCCTCCTTCTCCCTCCCTCTGTTTCTCCGTCCGCCGTCCCCTTGCTCGACTCGTTTCTCACCCCTGCTGTAGCCCATAGTATAAGTTGTCCCTTCTTCTCTCCATGCTCTCCCCTTCCTCACTAACCCTTCCTCTGTGCAGGGGGCCTGGTGGAACTTACGACCTCCAGCCCAGATTCCCTTTGCTCTTTCGTCGGATTCCCCGTTACGCTATCCGAGCTCCACGTTCCTTGGGTTGGCGGGTTTGTCGGATCTCTGGCATTCGATCGCAGTGCATGATTTTCTTTTGCATGTGAATGGTTGTGCATTGCATGTGATTTGTGTCGTGAGTTGCATTGCGTTGCATATCCGTGCAGTTGATTGGCCAGCTGTTCCTTGAACAGTTGTTCGTGTCTTTGCGTTCCGACGGGTTGTTGTAACTCTCGCTTGCATTGGTAATGCGTCTTGGGTGCCACTGCGATTGCAAAGTGTTCAAATCGTTTCGCGGCTTTGCATTGGTTTGCACTGCGTCCTGTGACGATGCAGAGGCGTACCGCTGACGGTAATGCTCGGCCCGCGTTCGTGCGAGTTCTTCATGTCAGGGCCATTTCATATTTGGACATGTGCGTACATGCACACAGGTGTGGGGTTGTCAAGGGCGGGTGTTTGCTAGAACCTAAGCGCGCACGAAGCGCACGCGTGGTTTTATTATATGTATACGTATAGACATATATATATACGTATGTATATGTATATATATACATATATATGCGCATCTATGTAAATATGCACTGTCAAAGCACGTATGTGTAGTTGGAGGGTGTGTCTGGGAGAATCGAGCGCAGAGCGACGTGTGGGTGTTAATCGAGCAACAAGGGACAACATGTAGCCGAAATCTGTACACAAGAGAAACGGAAGAAAAGTGTGAGAGAGAGGGGAGGAGCGAGATAGAGAGAGAGAGAGAGCGAGAGCGAGAGAGAGAGAGAGAAGGCGAGGGCAGGCGAGGAGCATGCGGAAATTCCAGGAGGTCCACCTTTGGAGGCATATTTGTGACATCACATTAAGGACGTGGTCACCACAGACATGCCAGACGTCTTTCAGTTCTGCACTCGCGAGCTCTGCCCGTCACAATCACCTTCACCACCTAAGTCTGCACGTCGTTATCGTCATCGTCGTCTCCAGCATCGGCGCTGTCACCGACCTTGCCGTCAAGTTCGTCATCATCGATACCACCATCATTGGTATCATCAGCAGCATCATCAGCATCATCAGCACCATTACCATCATCGTCATCGGCGCCATCATAATCAGCAGCAGCATCATCAGCATCATCGTTGCCGCTGGTGTCGACGTCCTCGTGAAGTCGCGCCCGCTCGAGTAACCGACCCGTACTGAACTGACCGCGCGCCAGCGCGGCCTCTCAGACGCATTGGGAAATTCCCATCGGTAAGCGCCATCGCGGCCGCATCAGCTGTGCCAAACCAGCTGGTGGATCCGCGCGCGAGCGTGCGCGCGCCAGTGCGGCCACAGAGACGCGCTAGCAAGTTCCAATCGGGAACCGCAATCTTAGCCGAATGGTTATTGTCAAGCGACTTGCGGGTGGGTGGGTGTGATGTTTTCGCACGCATTGCAGGTGACGAAAATTTATTGCAACACATACCCCACACATGCACAGTACAAGAGTTCACTGTTTGGAGCCCACGCTGGCAAACATTACTTTTCCGCCATCGGGGGCGCTTGTCCCGCGGCGGCTGGGCAGTTTTTGCCCTTACGGTGGCGCGTGAGGGTGTGAACTCCCCGTCCGCCCAAGGACAGGCGTCCCTGATGGCGGGGAAATAATGTCAAACCTTCTGCAGGTCCGCGAATGGTCCGGCCGATCTCCACCGCGTTGGGGATGTTGTGGTTGGGGGGTTGTGTGGGCGCGCGGATCTTGATTATATGTGGGAGCATGGTCGTGGGTGGGGTAGGCTACCTGGCCCCATCTGGGCGAGCAATGGGCGAGTGGCGATCGATCGGGGGAGCCGCCCCAGGGCGGAGACATCGAGTTGAAATCGGCGATGCATCGCCGAACGATCGGCCCCGAAAGGGCCCAGAACTTTGGCGTGCCCCGCCTTCGCTTGCGAAAACGCTGCGGGCGTCGAAATTCCATTCCCGCGCGCACGCGCGCACGCGAACATTTCAAAGGAGGGTTGCGGTGTTGCCTCAGCGCCGACTGGCCTCTTTCCACGGCCTGCGAAGCAGGCGAGCGGATGTTGGCGGCGCCCACAATGAGGTTGGCGCGACAGGGGCGGCCTCCTGAGAAGGCAGGGAGGGTATGTTAGAAGGCAGGGGCCTTCTGGGAAGGGCCTGGCGGCCTCTGAGTAGCCTTCTTCGGGGCTGCCAGGCCCTTCTAAGGAGGCCCCTGCGTTCTAACAAGCTCGCCCAGCAATTGTTTAGACGGCCGAACCCCTCGCGCCACACCCTTGTGGGCGCCGCCATGGACGGCAGCACAGGGGCTGCTTTGAGGAAGCCCAAGGATCAGGGGTGCGCAGCTGTGCCGATGATGATAAGAGCCCCCTCGGCATGTTGACCCAGCTTTCCTCGGGCAGCCTTCAGACGCCAGCCGTGCTTCTGCACACCATGCGTATTCCAATGTAGGGGCATTGTGCATTGGAGGCGCACGTGCGCAACAATGCATTGCAATGCAATTGGGTGCAACACAATGGTTTGCGTCGCAATGCAAATCACAGCACAGCAATGCATAATATCGCATCGGATCGCCCAGCGCATGATGGCTGGTTTGCGTTGTGCAGCATTGGATCGCATAAACTGAGGGCATTGAGTAGCGCAGCATAGCTTTGCCTTGCATAGCATGGCAACGCACGGCTTTTTGTCAGATATCACCGTTGAGCACGGCAACACATCATGGCATTGCACTGCACAGTTCGGCGCAGCACAGCATCACTCTTGCACATCATAGCATAAAATCCGTTACCATTGGTAGTTTCCCATTGGCGTTATCATTGCTCGGCATTCGCGCAGCTAAGTACAGCATGACAGAGCAAAGCACAGAACGCATCGGTCCGAGGAATGGGTGCCGAGGTCACGAAGAACCACTGGCGCCCCCGCAGCGTATTGGTTGTCCGTGCGGCCTGGCCAAGCGCTGCTCGATTGACCTTTCGGCCCACTGCCCTTGCGTCGCGGAACTGGCGCGGCTCCTCAGGCCGATGGCTCCGCCCGAGGCGCAGTTGCAGGGCCTGCGCGCCGAGAATGCGCAGCTGCTGGCCGAGAACATATGGCTCCACGCCGCCGCCGCCGCCGCCAGCGGCGACATGGCCAGCCGGATCGTCCAGCAGGGACTGGAGGCCACCTCCGGGCCTTCCAAAGGGGCCCCGCGCGGGACGGCGTCGGAGGATCGCCCCGCGTGTCGCCGATGCCTCGGCGATGCGGCGCGCTCCAGCGGCCGGCCTCCTCCGTCCCGACGTGTCGCCGGGGCATCGGCGGACGTCACGGCGCACACCTCGGCGAGGCGGCGCGAGCCTCCGGCCCCACAGGCCCCGGCCCACGGAGATCCGACGGTGTCGTGTTTTTCTCTGCGCGGGGCTCTCGAAAGTCCTGACCCTTTCTCCATGACGGGCTCTTCGTCCTGGGTCGTCCTCTGACGGTCCCAGGGCCCGGTGAGGGCCACCGGAGGCCGAATGAACCCAGCGCGACCCAAATTAGGGCAAAGTCTATTGCATGGGCGCGTCGCTGGGCACATCGCTTAGCACTGCGTGGCATTGCTTTGCATGGGTTGGCATTGCTTGGTTTTGCCTGGCATCGCTTGGCATCGCTGGGCGTTGCTTGGCATTGTTTGGCATTGTTTGGCATTGCTTCGCATTGCTTTTCCTTGCTTCGCACTGCTTGGCACTGCAACGAAACAAAAGGAGGGACCGGGAACCAAGGGAATCCGAGGAACCTCCGAGGAACGGGCAACGTAATAATAAGAGGCACCGGGGGCGGGGAAGCCGAGGAACCCGGGGAACCCAAGGAACCTCCAGGCAACAGGCAAAGTACCAATAGGAGGCCCCAGGGGCGGGAAACCCGAGGAACCCGAGGAACCCAAGGAACCTACGAGCAACGGGTAAAGTAACATTAGTAGGCACCAACCTTCAACCAAGTAAGAACCCCTTAGGCAAGCCCGATTGGGGAAATGGTAACATCGTAGGAAGAAGACCAGAGCCCTAAACCAAGCTTCCTGTTGCATTTTCGAGCAGGATCGCTATGTGATGGCCCTGGGGCCCTGAAACTGGGCGAAGACGCTCGGTGGTGTGAAAAGCATGCAGCGCCCAGATTTTAGGGCGCGCTGGCCCCGTTTGGGAGGCCTCCGAGGTCGAAGGCTTCTACCAGGAGCGCAGGCGCGTGGTCGAGGATCATCGGATGATGAGCTGACACCTATTAGCTCCCGTACCTATGCGGCCCCAAGGCTCCTCGGGGATGAATTCCGGGGGGGGGGCGATGGGTGTGTGTGTGTGTTGTCGGATAGGGGCCCCAGCTCGAACGGGACCCCCCCCTCGGGGTTCGACAGCTCGCACCCCATACCTATAGCGCCCTCGTCGCCTTGCCTTCAGGGAACAGATGATGGCAGAAACAAATGCAAAGTGTGCGGGGGCCGCGCAGGTTCCTCGGATCGGCGCTGGAGCCCCAAATCCGCGCGGACCCTCGAACGATTATGGTTGTGCCATTGTTTGTTCCGCGATGCCTTTACCGATTCTTCACTCCTGGGGATAACATCTGGAGAACAACATCAAACGCCATAGACCCCAGTATTCGTTCAAGAAAAACCAGGAGTATGGACAGAACCCTGATTGTTTTCTCTGAGATTTTCCGCTGACTTGGAACAGATCTAGACCTGGACTACGTTTTAAAAGACAACGCTTGGAGTGAGGTCCGCTCTCTTTGCTGAAAGTGTTCTTCAGCCCTTAGCAGAGGGGGGGGGGCGTGGTTCAGGGGCAACAATAGGGGGGATAGGCATATGGGGGGGATGCATCGACCCCCAAGCCCCCGATGGCACCACCCGCCCAGGAAGGTGCGGATTCACCATCGGGGACCTGTCGCCGATCTGTGGGCGATGCATCGCCGATTCCAGGTCGATGCTTCCCCCCCCCCTAAATGCCCATCCCCCCCCCCCATCGCTGCCCCCCCGTGGTGCCTTCGGCAGAGGAGGTCGCTGGGCTCGCCGCCGCCCTGCCCGCCGGGGCCTCGGCGGCGGCCGCGGCGGCCGGCGGGGCCGCCCGGCTGCGGGCCGCCCTGGAGGAGGCGAGGGCCTTGCTTGTGGAGCAGGATCCCAGGAGGAGGAGGAGGGAGGAGGAGGAGGAGGAGGAGGAGGAGGAGGGAGGAGGAGGAGAGGAGGAGGAGGAGGTGAGGAGAGGAGGAGGAGGAGGAGGAGGATCGAGGAGGAGGAGGAGGAGGAGGGATCGAGGAGGAGGAGGAGGAGGAGGGATCGAGGAGGAGGAGGAGGAGGAGGGATCGAGGAGAAGGAGAAGGAGGGATCGAGGAGGAGGAGGAGGGATCGAGAAGGAGGACGAGGAGGGGATCGAGGAGGAGGAGGAGGGATTGAGGAGGAGAGATCGAGGAGCAGCGAGGCGCATCGAGCTTCGGGCATTTTGGGAGGGACGGGGCAGGGACGGGGAAGGGGGTTGAGGCGGGGGAGGATCGGTAAGCAGGGCCTCCCCCCCTTCCTGGTTCGCAGAGGGGGGGGGTTCTCCCGAGGTGCCCAGCCGGGTGCTCGCAGCTCCTTCCTTCCAGGGGGCATTCGAAGCGACTTTCCTCTAACCCCACCTCTGCCCGTACCCCACCTTACGTTCTATCGACAGGAGAGGGTATAGCCAGGGAGCCAGGTAAAGGGGGGCCAGTTAGTGATAGGGCCCCCCTGCCAAAACATATTCCGGAATCTTTCAACCAGGTCTGCCGCAGCAGGTGTTCTGCGGGTGACGGTAGTTCTGGTTAGTAGAATGGGGCGGGAAGGCGTCTGCAAACACGCATTACTAAATTTGTTCCCGCTGATCTCAGTCTTGCCAACGCCCGACAAGACCGCTTGGCACGAGTGAAGGCCCGAAGCACGTCCTAAAGCGTGTGGGGGTGGCCGAGGAATGTGGTTTGAGGTTCGAGATTTTGAGAGAAGCGTGTTTGTTGTTTTTGGGGCTGCCGCGGCCCTTCTCGTCGCCAACGCTGGATGCCGATGCCGCTCGAAATTCGGGGAAGCGAACGCCCCAAATTCAGGGCGTCACCCTGCACGCCACCCGATCTCCGACGGTATGATGGTGTCCAATCCCTGCGCTTTTCCTCGATTTCAGCACTCGTGGGAGCGCTTTCGGGGCCCAGGACCATGAAAATGTGATCCCGAATGAAAAGCTGACCCTGGGAGGGGTCGGGACCCTAGGAGCTACGGACTGAAAAATCAACTCGGCAGATGTCAGGGGAGGTGGCTCTCCCTCGCCAAAGTTCATGGAAGGAATAAATACCGATACCGCTGCTCGTCCTCAAGAGTTTTCGTCGCTACGGCTAGCTTATCCCAGAGATTCTGGCAACAGTGCACCCCGAGAGACGTCCTGAGAGTAGCGGTGTCGGTATTGTTGTTCCCCCATGACCTCGCGTGCCGGGACGTCTAGGTGGTCCCCCGATGTCGCCCAGCCTTCACGAGTGAAGAGACCGAGGGGGAAAGCATGATGACCATGACCAAGATGTGACGGGGTCTTGTCGAAACCGATCACTGGCATGGCCCATGCCAGCCGTCGCCGATGTTGTCGCGGGGATGATCCACGTATTGACGATGACCGTGATGGACGACGACCAGAATTCGGCACCGACGTTTCCGCGCTTAGTCTTGGTCATGGTCACCGCATGCTGTCCCTCTTAGAGTGGTTCTTCGGTGTGGCTTCGCGTGCGGGGCCGTCTGTGGTCGGGAGCCTCGAGACGGGGGTCAATGCAAACGGGGGTCAGCCAGGGCCTCGGATCCTGCAGGATCCTGCGAAGACCCCCTCTGGCTGACCCGGGTTAGCGAGCCGCTCGTGGCCGCGAGGCGGCCGCACATATTGGCTGACCCGGGTTTGCGAAGACCTGCGTTGCAGTTTTTTTTCCTGCACTGCAGTTTTTGGTTTCCTGCTGACCCGGGTCTGGATTGACCCGAGTCAGACGATCGCCGATGTGGGGCCCCCCGGTCTCATCGAGTGCGGTGCGGAATGGTGGCGGCCGGTGCGCCCGAGCTGTGCGGTTCCCCCCGGCCCCCCGAGGCCGCGCACCAGCGCCCCTTTTTTCCCTGCTTCTCATTCGCCTCCTCCTCCCTACCGATGTCACGTCGTCGGTTTCGACCACATGTTGCGCGGCCAGGACAGCCCTGGTGCGCCCTTCCGTCCCCGCCGCCGGGGCCTCTAGGCGGGTGGGAGACTCTCGCCCTCTTCTACGCTGCGCCCCTCCCTACCGATTTGGGCTCAACTCCGAAGCGTCGTGCCCAGGACAACAGGGCCTGGAAAGGGGGAGCAGCGGCCCCCACCACCTTCATGGAGGCTACACCTCCGAATCTTGCGCACCCAGGGGCGAGGCAGTTCTGGAGCCTGCCAGGCAGGATTCGGCAGTTTTCCCTGGCCCAAGCTGCGCAGTCTGGGGTTGCAGCAAGTGTGAGGCGTTCGCAAAAATGAACAAATCGACTGGTATGTCAGTGCAGATAACCCAGCCCCACAGAGGATCCAGAGCAAGGCCAAAACAAATGTGATTCCACGGGCGATCCGCGGCTGCAACCAGAAAAGGAGAGCAGGGGACAGTTGGCAATGGGAAAGAAAAAATTATTGTTGCGACCGACGGTACAATTCAGAAGCTCGAGGCTCAGTTCCATGAGTTACTGCAAGCTGCCCAGTTTCTCCCCACGTTTTCTACCCCATTACCAGCAAGGCTGCGGCGCCCACTGGCGCCAAGGCCCCATGGCTACACACCCAAACGGCGGAAAAAGGTGACCTTGCGGCTAGTGATGAACAGAGTCAAAGTGTCAAGGGGGATAAAATCATGCAGGAAACCAACGAATCCGAAGACGTTGTCAAACGATTCCGCTTCAGTGACGACACCCTTCGGAAGCCCGTCGGAGATCGGATCCAGTAAGTTCGTGGCCAGCATAAGCAGCGACGATATCCCACCACGCACACACACAAGAAGACCGCTCAGCACTTAAATCGTGTGCTGAACTAGGTACACATTATGCATGACGAACTTGCGGATGGGAAACAGATTCTAAACGGTTTGCGTAAACCCACCAGCATTTGACAGGCCCGTGGCCCGGACCTCTCAGCTCGGCGATTGCGAATCCGCGTCCGCCCGCGACCAAGAAAAGTAACCCCACCAGCCCATCCAGAAACGATGCCCAGACGAGTTGCCTCGATCAGGGAAGTAGGCAGCACGCCGAGGAAAGGTCCCTTTGTGAGGCCGCTTGGAGCGTCTTGGGGGCCTCTTAACAGTCCCGGAGGCCTCTTGGAGCGTCTTGGGTGTCTCGGCGAGCTTCTCGGGGCCTCCTGGGGGTCTCTTGGGAGCCTTTTGGAGTCCTCTTGGGCGCCTCTTGAGGCCTCCAGGGGCTTCCTGGGCGCCTCTTGGGGCCCTCTTGAAGCACTATCGCGAGCCTTGGGAGCGCTTTTGGGGCCATCTTGGAGGAGATCGAACAAACAAAATTGGAGGTTCAACTAGCGGTGCCCCCCCTGGTGGCTAAAATGGTGCCAAACCTTAGTAAAACCATTGATTGTGGCTTCTTCGCCGAGGCCGTTTGAAAACCCTGACACCTCGCGACCGGCCCCTGCCAGGTCCAGGGGAGGTGATATGGGGAGGGGCAAACCCATCCTCGAAGAGGAAGATCGGTTGATGGAAGACAAAACACCGTAGACGATCCACGCCCTGAAGGGTTTGTGGAATTGCTCGGCATTCAGGAGTCCGTTGCCAAGAGAGAGGACGATACAATTGCGCAGTTGGTCGAGGTGGCGCAGCCAGACATCGAGTTCGCGGAGACCGCAAAGCAAGTTACGCCAGAGCGCCAGGAGAAAGGACCACCCACCGCTGACAGATCCAAGCTGTTTGGATTTGATGCATCAGATGCGCCAGAGGAGCTGTCGAGTTCCCTCAAGAGGCAGGAGTGGACTGCTCTCCAGGCTTTATTTTCCAAGACTGTCACCATGCTGTCCACAAAGATGGGCGTGGCTGGTCAGGCGCCGGCCATTGCCACGCTGTTGGCGGAACCGCTGGATGCGAAAGGCCAGGTAAGCGCAGCGGGCATGGAGGAATCAAACGCGAGTGCGAGGTTTTGAATGTCGATGGGCAGAACCACGTAGTCAGTCTTGCTGGCGACGATGGAGGCCCAAGGGGAAGCTCAAGGAATTCTAAGCGACGAAAGCGAAGCGTTCCTAGCATCATCAAGCTAGGTCATTGGTTGCGCAGTCTGGCTTCAGCGACGGCGGCCCCCACTACATCGGGGACCTTGCAATGCTCGAGGTTCTGGCCTGACCCCGAAACAGCTGAGGCCGCGGAAAGGAAGTCGCCCCCAATTCAGCCATGAGGCAGGCCCGCCATGCTCGGGGCGGGCGAGGGACGGGAAGCCCCACCGCGGAATCGCTGGAGGAAAAGCCACGCACGTCCTGGACAGCGTCTGCTCCCACGTCTCCTTCAGGCACCTCACTGGGAAATCTGAGACCGTGGATTGGGCGGCACCCCCAGAGCAGCCCCCAAGCAGGAGGGGCCGAGCTCGGGGCGGGCGAGCGACGGGAACCTCAGGCACAGAATCGCTGGAGGGCAGACCACTTCCAGTCTCACGGTTGCGCCGACTATTTCGGCGGCACAGCCAGGCGCGCCGAGAGACTTTGAGTTCGGCGCGCTGCGAGGCGCAGGTTTCGGATTTCCACGCCGAGGGCCCTTGCCAGATGAAGATACAATGGTCGACGACGATCGCCGGGACTTCGAGGCGCACAGCGCGCGCAGCGGCGGGCGCGCGGCGGCGAGGCGGCCGGGGAAGAGCACGGCACAACGCGCGACGAATAACAAAACCGGCTACCCGGCAGCAGATCTGGAAGCATTAGATACGCGGCGAGTTGCGCAGGGCTGGCACGCGAGAGCACGCGCTGCAACGCCGACGCCTGGCAACAGTACTTTCTTTGGGGTTAAATGGGATTCTCAGGGCAGGAAGCGGAATTCGACAACCAGTTGCTGAGCGCGAAGAGCTCGTGGCCCGCCGGCCCAAGAGGATCGAGACCGGCGGCCTGCCTGCCCGGCCTGCACCGCGGCGCGCGAGATCTACCTCCGCCCGCTCGGGGCGGAGT